TCAGAAGGATAAGGTTAGTCGTTTTTGAGAGATTTGTTTTATTTTATGCGGATTTGTTCTGTTTTCTTCGAAATTAGGGTTTTGAATCGGAAAAAAAAATTGGGGGTTCTTTGTGTTCAATGAAATTAGGCTAATCTCTGTGAATAATACTCGTGAATAAAGCTGTTTGAAATCGTTTACATGAAGATATAGACTGTATTTTGTGTATTGAGGTATATGATCGGTTCTTTGTAATCGGTGAAGTATTTTTGAGTTGTAATTATTTGGTTAGTGATGTTAATGATCGGTTGGTGATGTGTACGATAGGTTTTGTTTAGTGTATGCATATATATCATGTTATTTTGATGATGAAGTTGAAGTTGATGATGAAAATGATATTGTGAATATTTTGGCGAGGGTAAATGGAGAGAGAGCACTTAGGATTCTTGATGATTATGTTACTTCCATCTAAACTCAGCCCAAGGTAAGTCTTCTTCAAACTAACAATCTATCTTCTCGGGTCTTCATTTTCATACCGAGACATGTGATGTTTGGGTCATATTGTTTGCAAGCATGGAAGTCTGTCCAAGGTCCAATGATCGAAGCAAGCATCCAAACAGCTGTCATGCCTTAAAAGGTTAGTTTCATTCTAAACTTGTAGTTTAGGGTTGATAGTTTCTTTCTTTGTATATGAGCGCTTAGTTAGTATTGATTGTAAATGGTGGTAGTTGTTTGTTAGGTGAAGAGTTTATGGTGTAGTAATAGCTGGTGCTTGTTTAAAAGAAACATTGAGTGTCTTAAAAGCTGTTTAAAAATCACATCAAACATCAAAAAAATTAACAATTAAGATAACAACTAGTAGATATCATTAAAAATGGTTATTGAATGTACCAAACTCTTAAAAACAGCACAAATATAAAAGTAAAACAACACTAACTCTTTAACAACTCTCTTTCACAACTCTCTTTAACAAATATAGAACTCGCTAAACACTAACTCTTTCACAAACTTCATAAACACTTGTTTTCTAAAATCACTCTTCTCTTCTAAACTCACAAACCCGAAATCTTCCAACTCTTTTACAATCACTCTTCTCTTCTAAAATAACTCTTCTCTTCACAAACTTTTGTTCAAACTCAAACGCTTGTCTTTCACAAACTTGTCTTTCACAAACTTCTTAAATCTCACTTTTCTCTTTTAAATATCTGTACTTTGAATTTTAATAATTTCATGTACTGTTCTATAATCTTGTTTAATATGTAATGAATGTTTAAATTAAAAATTAAGTTAATAATTTTTTAAAAAAAATATTAATTTTTTATTAGTAAGCAACTCTTACTCAATCCATTAATGCAACATTTGATGTTAAAAGTTGCTTAATTATCCTTAAAGCAAAAAAAAATATTATATTAATGTTAAGCAACTTTCTTATAATCCCTCTAATGCACATGTTCTAAGAGTAAGAGGACACACGGTTTTAGGATGGGGAGACGTTGACGGCGCTAAGGCGATCAGAGCCACTTATCTAATATTCGCGCATTTGATACTAATAAAAGGCACACGTGTGAACCTGTAATGTTATTGGACACTGAAACAAAGAACATTACTTTTTCACTGGACCCAGCCCACACGAGGATACATTTCTCTATCTTTTTCTAGGGTTGGTTTTTCTCGGCCCACGTGGACCCATTTATTTCCTCGTCCTAACGTTTACGGGAAATTTATACGAGGGATATATACATGTTTTCTTTTTGTTAAAGAAGACCAAAGAGGAAGTGTGGTGAAAAGAACAAGTGAAAGATGAGTGAGGGATATATCAACAATAATAGTTTCTGCTATTGTTAATTTAAATTATCAAAAACAAAAAAAAAAACTGAAAATTTAGTCTAGTAGGTGACAAAAACACGTTTATCTGATGTTTGGCCTTTGCAATCTATAATTTTTCAGTGTTTTATGAGCACATCATTACGAACTTTGGTAATTTATCACTCTGTTTCAGTACTGTGTTGTGAGCATATCATTCCGAACGCGGTACAAGCATGGCTTTCAATATGGCATCAGCTTATCAGATACAAACGTTTTAGTTATTCCTGATTTTATAACGTAATTGATCAAATTATTAGTGTAGTGTAACTAAATTGAATAACATAAAATTGGTAGGTTTCGTCGATATATCACACATGAATTCAAATTGTATTCCAAGAAATGTCAATTTAAATTTATCTATAACCAAACTTCACAATCGGAATTTTTTGGACATGGTAAATTATTGAAGTATCCATGTGTGGAAGTTTACTTGTTTTATTTAATCAAATTTAGTTATGTGTGATTGATTGTATTTGATATAGGAATTTTTCCCTGGAGATCAGAGGACTTTATTTCCAGCATCAACTTAAAAGGGAAGGGAATTATTTTCCCATCATAATAGTGAAAAGCAGAGTAAAAATGAAGTTTTTTCCGACTTCTATAACTATATGGGCAAACTTTCACTCCATGTTAACTTTTTCTGTTCATATAAATACGTATATATAATTCTTGGCATGTAGATTAAGATGAAGTCGTTCTCAACGACTTAACTTTGAAATTTTTAGGTCAGATTCTTCCGTCGTAATCATGCATGGGCATGATGATGTTTAGCAATAAATGATGTTGATGATCATTATGCTTTTATAATTTGCAATGAGAATGCTAATATTATTGTGTTCCTTCATGAAAATGCTGTCACCAAAAGGTTGACGACATAGGCATGACATGTCCCGCCATATCACATGCCACATGGTTCCATTTTTTAAAAAAATATATGTATATAGCTTTAAAACTTATAAGTCTTTGCTTCCTATAGGATTTTAAGGCTTTTTTTGTGTAATCTTTCACGAACACGGACATTTTTCTTGACGCATTGGCATGTTAATTAATATACTCTTGAATATATAAATTGAATTGTAATAAAACATGAACACTATATGGGTCTCCCGATTTAAACCCTTATTATTATAGAATATATATATATATATATATAAATGAGTAGATTTTTATTTTATATTATATCTTTACTTTTGAATCTTCCTTAGTTCCTTTTAAAGTGTTATCGTGATTTAAATGTGGTCTGTAAAAAAAATATATATTTATATGCATATGTAAAAACCTGTTTTTCTCTAAATATTGTATAGAAACCATGCCACTAACATGTTACCGAATTATATTGTTTGCGACAGCAATGATGATTGATGAGAAATTAATGTGTTTTTATCAGCTAAGCTTTTTCTTGTAGTTTTTATCAACTAATTTTCTAAACAGTGAAGACTAAAGAGATCATGATTCCCGAATAAAACTTGTGATTCTTTTGTAATGATCTTGTGCCTTTCTTCCGCTCGGCCAGTAAACCGGTTCATAACTGCTTCGCCTGGTAAGAGCAGAATTCTTAATATCATTGCCTTTAGTATTAATATATCTTTGTTCTGTATTTTTTCATAAAAAGTTCCACTTAAACTGTCTAACCCAACTGTACTAATGAGTTAATTATATATGTTTAGTTTAGTTTAGCATTAGATTAATCCCAACAGTATATCATATCCTTATCATCGACCAGAAGGAATGTTTTCTTATTACTTAAGGTAAATCATCTGAAACCGGGTTATCATGTTGATTCATAATTACTTGAATAATATACAATTACTGGAATAATATACATTAATCGCTAGTTTTCCCATAATAATACATAAATTTACAAACAAGACATAGCCACATGGGGGACGTATAGTACGAAAACGCTTTGGCAGACCAGGGCTTTAGTTTATTTAAATTTAATTTAAATTTTTTTTGTCGGCATTATATTTACAGAAATTAGTAGTTCTGATGAAATAATCTTTAAAAAGTTAAGCATAGCCATTGTGAATGGCGGATCCCACAAGAAGGACAACGAATCCATGGAATCAAAACACATGTTTTGAAGCTGACAACTTTCGATTTCTTTCCCATCTGTGGGTCCTATATTGTCTTAGCTGTCATTTTATTCCATTTTTGTTACATAAATAAAAATAATTTCCGACAAAACACTCTTTTTGTTAATATTATTTGTTATCTTATTTTCTTGTATTGATAGGAGTAATGAGAGTGAAATTTCTTTTCTCTCCTTTTTGAATGTAAGTGTATTTTCATAATTAAATTACTAGAAATGGGAGGAAAAAAAAAAGCTAAAAGTATTCATATTTTTACTTTTAATACAGAGCAATTCTAGTTTGTATATGTTTAGGTGGATGAATTCGGAACAGAAAACTGTGCCTAGGCCTGAATTTTTCGGGAAAGGTAACCCGTCCCATTTTGAATCCGTCCTGAAATTCCCGAATTTTTCGGGAAAGGGAAATTATAATTTCCCATTCGAGATTGAAAATAATATTTGAATGGGTAAGGGAAAGGGTAGGGACGGGAATGGGATTACCCGAACTTCCCGTTAGATAATTATATAAAGTAAAATTTTAGAGATTTCAGTTATTTGAATTTTTTTTATAATAAATAATGATTTTTCTAATTTATTAACAAATAATAATTTTTTTAAAAAAAAACAAAAATTGATTTTAATTTAATTATCTCAATTATCCGAAATTTTCCCGTCTCTTTCCCGTTCTTTTCCCGATTATATTTTATTTTGAGATTGTATGGAAAGTATGTTTTGATTCCCGAATTTTCCGTTTCCGTCCCATACCCGTAAATTTCCTTCTTGTTATTTTATGGGAATACTCTGGGTAGTATATTCAGATTCCCAAAATTTCCATTCCCATCCCCTACCCGTCAATTCCCATTCCAATTCCCGAAAAATTCAGGCCTGAACTTGGCCTTTGCCCACTGGCTTGGCCGCAATTATTCTGAGAAAAATGACGCCATTCATGACATCACCTTCTCCCGACAAGCTCTTTACGGTCCAACCAATCCCGGCATCCACGTGGCAGCATCGCACCCGTTCAAATAAAGAAAATCAATGATGAATCGATATATATTTTATACCACACACACGATCCAATATTGAGCCCTTTGTTTCTTCTACACATATTTCACATCTCTCTCTCTCGCTCTCGTTAGACGTATAAGTTTAAGGAAAAAAAAAAACTTAAAAGAAAAAGCCCTAGAAGTCTCTATTACTCGTGGTTGCTAATCATTATCAAGCAATATGATTAATTTTGAGGCGACGGAGCTGAGGTTAGGGCTGCCGGGTGGGAATCACGGAGGAGACATTGCCGCGAAAAATAATGGGAAAAGAGGGTTTTCTGAGACCGTTGATCTCAAGCTGAATCTTTCATCGACGGCTCTGGATTCGGTTTCCGAAGTTGATATACAGAATTTGAAGGAGAAAGTCGTAAAACCACCTGCCAAGTAAGAAACAATATTTCAATCTCCATTTCAGTTCATATTTATTTGTTTTCTAGAATTACTTTATATATAGAGAGAGATAGTTTGTGATTCTTTATTCAAGTAGATGTTCTGAATGTATTGAAATAATTAGATTATCTGTGAATAGATTCGGGAAAATTAGATAATACGAGCCGGTCACGTACGATTTGTAGATGGATGTGCTTTAACACGACGATCTTATAAATATAGGTTTTTTTTTTTTTTCTAAATTTAATAAGTGAATTAGAATAGGTTATAGAGCAATTCTGAAAACAATTTTCGTCTGTGATTTTTTCACTTTGTTTTCTTTGGTTCGCCGCTCCATGGTTTTTCTTTTTCAACAAATTTTCAGAAGATCATTTATATTTGATTAATAAATATTCTTCGCTAGGTTGAGTTAGTGTTCTGTTTGAAAATGATTTTGGTCGGGAAGAACTAAGAAAAATACAAAACATAAGGAATCTTACTTTATCTACGAAAAAAGATTAAAGATTATATTAATTGTTTGGACAACTACAGCCACCTAACATCCGACACGTGCTAAGCAACTAGATAAATAACAACTTTATAGATTAAGTAATGCAACTGATATTATAAAATTAAATATCTTTACGGAATTTCAGGACACAAGTTGTAGGATGGCCACCGGTACGATCTTTCCGGAAGAACGTCATGTCCGGCCAAAAGCAAACCACCGAAGTTGCAGCTGAAGGCACCGAGAAGACTTGCGGCAGTAGCGGAGCCACCTCCTCCGCCAATGCCGCCGTGGCTTACGTGAAGGTTAGCATGGACGGCGCACCATACCTAAGAAAAATTGACTTGAAACTGTACAAAACATACCAAGATCTCTCCGACGCCTTAAGCAAAATGTTCAGCTCCTTTACCATAGGTAAATAAATAAAACAACATATCTACTTAAAAAACATAATAAGTTGTTTTTTTATATACTGTTAATTTATTGATATTTAATTTATTTTTTCAGGCAACTATGGACCACAAGGAATGAAGGATTTTATGAATGAGAGTAAATTGATCGATCTTTTGAACGGATCAGATTATGTTCCAACGTATGAAGATAAAGATGGTGACTGGATGCTTGTAGGAGACGTACCTTGGAAGTGAGTATTAACTATTGTCTATATATTTCACTAAAAATCAAATATCTATTTTTGTTTGAAATGTCTCTACATACATATTTATCAATGTCGGCTGGATTGTTTTTAGGATGTTTGTTGATTCATGCAAACGTATAAGGATAATGAAGGGATCAGAAGCAATCGGACTTGGTTAGTATATCTTATCCAACTAACTATATAGAAGATTTTGATTTTAGGCTTTAATTATTTGCACTTTTTCGTTAATACTATTTTCGATGTATTCCAGCTCCAAGGGCATTAGAAAAGTGCAAGAACAGAAGCTAAGAGTTCTTAACGACATTTCTTGAAATTACCAACAAATGAAGGAAAACCGGTTCGATCGGTTCGATATCTCAAACCGAGAAAAGCCAAACCGGCTCGAAACTATTGTTCCGAGCAGGGAGTTTGCGTATTGTATTAATCTATAATAATATTGTGATGTATTACATTTTATAATATAAACCTTTTTTGTTATATGATGTATTATAATATATACATTTATAAATATAAAAATGTATATTTTATTAGGTTGCATCTATTTCCGCATTAGTTTAATTTTTAAACAACGTCTGTTTACGCATTATTGTATTGTCTATATGGAAGTGTCCGTAAGACATCCTAATGTGTTACTTTGGCGTGACAGATTATTATCACGTCTACTCTACTTTTCGTTTTTTTTTTCTGGCTTCGGATTGTAAACTCATTAGTATTTTATTTTCCATCATCTCGAAATTGTACTAATTTTTTTTTTAATTGAATTTTACATTTATAAGATTCTGTAATATAACCAATTCTAGTTGAAACATATATGAGAAACTTTGAATAGATCAAGGTAATGTGATAGTGGAAAGGGGCAGAGCATGTGGATAATGTAGAGTTGTTGGGGGACAAAAATTGAAGGAATTATAAACAAATTAATAATGTCTTTAATATGTATGCTCCATTATTGATGCTTTACGCTGTCATCCATTCCCTCAGGCCTCATCAAAGAATAGGTGACAACGATGATATACATTTGTTTTATTTATTTCTTGATAAATTTGATATTACTATTGATAAAAAAAACGAATTTACCATCGAATTTCCAATAGCTGTTTTAAAATAGCTGCTTACAAAAACAAGACAAAGTGAATTAGGTACGATATAATTAGTTATTAAATGAAGACAGTTGGTCAACTAGTCAAATAGAAGAAATCAAGTTTTTTTTTTTTTTATGTTTTTGCTATAAAAGCAATTGTGAGTATAGTTGACATTAGCGAGGAAATGCTGGCGCAGTTTCGCCAAAAGATTAATCTTTAAGAGCTCATACATTATATTGTGTAAGTAATATATATATATATATACTTATACGTAAATCGTAGAGAGTATATATGTGACTAGAGTAAGCACAATGTTTTTCTACTGGGCCTTCAATTGCAAAAAAAAAGTATACTAGGTCAAATTATGAATTGCATTGAACCAAAAAAACATGGACTGCATTGCATAGACCATAGGGCATAGTTTCATCCATTTGCGAGAAAACGGTGGTAGGGAAAGATTTGGGCCATTTGCCCCTTCCTTACACTAAGTTACAAAAACTTACAATATGGCACCAACATTTTCCGAAGTTATTCGGGAACTTAGCACCACCATTTTCCGACCGTAAATTCTAAAACTCATAACGCAGTCGGACCCGATAAACTAACAACCTGAAAAAGACGTCCTAATGAGAAAAATGTGAAAAGATAATCTAGTTGATTTACCGTTTTGGTTAGAAAAACATTGTGAAAAAGTACGGGAACGATAAAATATGATAAACTCTAATTTTGTTTAGAGGTTTTAATGAGGCTAATGAGGAGTTTCTCCCCCAAAAAAGAGCAAGCCCTGCTACTGCTAGTTGACAAACTCTTATAAGTACAAGCTAGTGTTTGGAACTTCATTGTGTTTATACATCAAGGATTAAAGGCTACAGATGAGATATGCAACCAATTATAACGAAGATTTGATGTCTACGTCCATTTTTGGATAACTCAGATTCAGGGTTGAAACTGAAAGATCTTCATTTTGCAAATTTTTTTTTTTTTTTTTTTTAAAAACATTGATATGGGCCATATTGCCAATGAATCTCGATCCGCTTCACCTATTTATTTTGCCTAATGGGAAAATAAAAAATATATCAAACAGACCGATTTTGATAAAATTTGTTTAGTCAAAATGATGGAAGCCAATATTATTATCCCAAGGTGAGAGCGACATTTATCTACCAGGCTGCTTTTCTACAAACAATCAACATTCAATTAGCCGCCTCTCATTATATCACCTGTGTAGCATTGTACGAAGATAAACAATGCTTCCTCGTTTTAAACCGTCCGATCAGATATGTCTTTGACCACTATGCTTCCGTAAAAACGTGATCGACGGTTCTTCTACAGACATTTCCCACAGCAATCTTTAATTCTCTTATTAAAATAGCATATGCCTTTGAATCAGTGCCACTTCTCATTTTATTTGTCTTTTCCAAAATAAAATTAAAAAAACTCCAGAATTTAATCTAACAACTTAAGTCACAATTTCTCGAATCAATCGAATGAACCGTTTGGAAAATATATATAATGAATTTGTTCTTACTATTGATAAGTTACACAGTTTCTCTAGTCCATTGAATCAGTGCATTTATATATTTGACGTACATTTGTTGTATATATGGGTTAAGCACGTTAGCTTTCTCGTGTGAAAATCAATTGGATAAAATCACAAGGCAAACATTACTATATGATTAATTTGATTTTTCAACATTATTATACAGTTAATTATTGATGTATATAAACAGAGAGAGAGACGGACACATGCAGTAACTTAGACCACAAAGAAGACAAAAACTGATAGACCATGAAGAAGAGCAGACTAAGCATAGCCATCATACTATTATCATACACGGTGGCTACGGTGGCCGGACAACAATGCGGCAGCCAAGCCGGTGGTCAGACTTGTCCCGGCAACATCTGCTGCAGCCAGTACGGTTACTGCGGCACCACGGCGGACTACTGTTCACCGGACAACAACTGCCAGAGCAATTGCTGGGGAAGCGGGCCTAGCGGCCCAGGGGAGAGCGCGTCGAACGTACGCGCCACCTACCATTTCTATAACCCGGAGCAGAATAACTGGGATCTGAGAGCCGTGAGTGCTTATTGCTCCACGTGGGATGCTGATAAGCCTTACGCGTGGCGGAGCAAGTATGGCTGGACCGCCTTCTGTGGACCGGCTGGTCCTCGTGGTCAAGCTTCTTGCGGCAAGTGCTTAAGGGTAAGTAGTTATTCATATTTTTTCTATATACCTTTTTCTATATTGTTTCAAGTCAATATGCTTTTGGTTAGGTTTAAGAAAAATTACTAACAAGGCCCGGTTATGAAACCGGTGTAATTAACGGGTGGGTCTAAATGGATACAGGTGAGGAACACAAGGACGAATGCAGTGGTAACGGTGAGAATAGTGGACCAATGCAGCAATGGAGGATTGGATTTGGATGTTGCAATGTTTAATAGATTGGATACCGATGGTGTTGGCTATCAACAAGGCCATCTCATTGTTGACTACCAATTTGTTGACTGTGGCAATGATCTCATTCATCAGCCTGCCGATTCCAAAAACATCCTTGTTTCAGCAATTGATCGCGTTTGATATTAATATGTAATGATTTTCGAGTTCTGCATCTTTCCACACATAATATAATAAAATGAACTCTATATCGAGTGATATGTTTTTGTTGTTTCTTGGCAGTTTTTGTCTTTCTTTCAACTACCAATAATAGCCGTTCTTGAATTTTCGAGTATTACTATATATAGGTACTAGTACTGCAAGTAGTGCATATTAATTACGTTTTTTGTTTGACAAAGGATATTAATTACGTATTTTACCCAATAACTATATATAGTTAAAGAATCTAATTAATTAAGGATATCGCATATGTTGGATTTCTAGGATCAAAAGAGCATGAGGTCAGATATACAAAACGTAAATGTCATCATGAAGGACGTTATTGCATGCTAATTTCTTGTTGGATAATCCTCTCGAAAATTTAAGAGAAAGCAAAATTTGTTAGAACAAAGCAGTTGTGAGTTCCACAAATAATTTTTTTGCCTGCTTTATTGCAAAGAGATAATTTACCTCACTTAAATGAGAGAATATTTTTATAATGTGTGTACGTGCTAGTTAGGTGCTTAGTCGTTCGGTTAATAATTAAAAAAAAAGTTTCTTCATGAACCAGGGCTAACGTTCTACGTACGTACGGTTAAAGTCTATAGATATTAATGGTGGTCTTGGGCCTCTTGGCAAAGACGTGCACGTTTTCAATTATTGAATAATGTTAACTTGATAAGTACTGTCTTTCTCTTGTCTTTAGGTAATTGATTAGAAGAAAATATGTTTTTATTGAGACTTATTTTAACTAATAAAACACTTTTTCACTTTCTTTCATAAACTTTTGTGTACGCCATAAATCTTAGATATCTGATTATACTCTTTAAACGGAAACTAGAATTAATTATTCTATAGTACTATAACTCAAATTTCATAAGAATGAAAGTTTGAAACAGTTTTCTACTAAGCTCTATAAATAACCCGTACGCATAAATATAAAGTTTCATCTATAATGACGGTTGTAATTTATAATTAATAATGATGAAATAAAAATATACACGATCAACTTATTACTATTCCTTTCGAAGAATTGAAAAAAAACTTCAACCGCCATGCGTGGAACGTGAAACAAACGACTACAAATGTCTCCCAAGAATAGTATGTACATTGAATATTCAAATCAACGCCAAAGAAAATAATACACAACGGTCCAAAAATTTTACTAGGCTAAACTAGAAATGTCATAATATACAAATGTCTATAAATAGAGTTTCAGAAACTCTATTATTCTATCTATCACGAATTTAGATTAAAGAAAAACCAGCATAGAGAAAGAATGTCGAGACTTAGCATATGTTTGTTTGTCTTGTTATGTGCGTTTGCAGCCAAAGTAGCCGCTCAATCTGCGACCAACGTAAGATCAACTTACCATTTCTACAATCCTGCCCAAAATGGCTGGGATCTTTACCGAGTAAGTGCGTATTGCTCCACGTGGGATGGAAATCAATCGCTTGAGTGGCGTCAAAGGTATGGCTGGACAGCTTTCTGCGGTCCCGTTGGACCGCGCGGTCGTGATTCTTGCGGTAGATGCTTAAGGGTAAGTCATGTTATCTATTTCAAAAATCACGTTTGGAAAACGCCGTATTCCGAAATAGGTGCATGTGTTATATATCCTGGTTTATTTAAGTGCTTTTAGTGTAGTGACAGTAATATCAATTGATAAGCCAAAACATATATAAAAACGCAAACGCAGGTGACGAATACTGCGACTGGAACGCAAGCGACTGTGAGGATTGTGGATCAATGTAATAACGGGGGTTTGGACTTAGACGAGGGCGTTTTCAGACAGCTTGATACTAACGGTATGGGGTACGCTCGTGGAAACTTAATTGTCAACTACGAGTTTGTCAACTGTTGAAGATGTTCAAGTTCAAGTTTATGTAATAATACTTTCTCATGTCATCTCCGTACGTATGACTACCTTCATTTAATAATGTAAGAAAAGAAAGTAAATGTCTCCAGTTTTATCTTTCATAATAAAATCATATTGTAATAAAATCAGACATTACCAAATCCAACTTTGTTTTCTGACATTGTTAGTACATTAAGTAAAAAATAGGCAAACTGCATAAGGGGAAACCAAGGTAAGAAGCAGATCAAAACTTCATACAGATACTAACACAGAGCCACCTCTCGAAGATCTTATTATGATTTGGCCTCAATCTTGTCCTTGCCATGAAACTTCCTTCCGGCATCTACGGCTTCTCTGTAGAAGAGGGAGAGAGAGAAAAAAACACATCAGTTATCTTGAAAAACCGATACAGACCGATAAAAAACAAACATCACAAGGATTTCAAACAAACCTGAAAGCATCAACGAGCTCTTTGCTTTCAGGGCTAAGCAATACTCCCTCGTAAAAGGCATTGGCTGCCTCATCAAATCGCTGGAGATTCATCAATAACTCAGTGAATTATACAGTTTCAATGTTCAAAAAATCAAAACTTGATAAGAATCGAGAGGGTTTTTACCTGTAGCAAACGAAGAGCAGCACCTTCTCTGAAACATCCTTTAGGCCAATCGGGTTTTAGTTCTCGGCAGGCTTTAGCATCGGATAAGGCATGCTCAGCTTGTCCTAACCGCAACCAGCAGAGGCTTCGGTTTGAGAATAAGGTATGATCCGTCGGGTCAAAATCAATTGCCTTTGTTTCAAAGAAAATGCCACAAATCACAAAAGGTACATAAATCAAGAATCTTTCTTTAGATTTTAGAAGGAGGTTTAGCGTTGAATACTTGTGTGTACGCGTCAATGGCCAACTGGAAATCCTTTCTGTGGAAAGCGTCTTGTCCTCTTGCTTTTGCTTCTGCAGCTTTCGCCTTTGCTTCTGGGGAGACCTGTGGAAGTTTATAACTGTAGGCTTTAGCAAATATAATGCAAAAGAAATGCATATTGATCAAAATATAAAGTACCTCAGGAAGATCTTTCTTGATCCCAGTCCCTCCAGATTTTCCCTTGCTTGAGTTTTCCTCTTGTTCCTAAATATATTAACTTGTTGTCTCAGACAAGAAATGTCAGCAATATTCGAGAGGAAAAACAAGAGAGATGTAATACCAGTTCTCTGTTTGATTTCATGTGAGCGAGAATTCCATCTACTGTCCAATCTGAAACAGATTCGGATTTTGTTGTCAATGGGAAGAGCATCTCAACAACCTTTCTGTTCTCTCTTGCAGCTGCAACTTCTAATGGCCTATTTCCTTCCTGCAAATCACAGAATCTCCAGTTGAAATTAGCAAAGTCATAAGAGGTCATATCGGATCAAATGAACAAAAGAAAATGTTTAGTTTTATTTGCTAATGAACTGATTTTCGAGTTGGGATTTACCTCGTCTTTCTGATTAGGATCAGCCCCAGCTTTAAGTAAACAGTTAATTAACTCGAGATCTCCAATATCAGAGGCAATGTGCAACGGAGTCGCACCACCAGCAAAAACATTAGCTTTGGCACCTGCCTGTAATTACAAAAAAGAAGTTTTTTTTTGTTAGTTCGGATTTAAGATGTATAGCAACCGAAATAAGACAGCACTACAAATCAGAAACAACTCAAACCTTGACCAACAGCTCTAAGCATGCTAGAGAACCAGCTGCCACTGCAGATAACAATGGTGTGATATTATCTTCGGTCTCGGCATTAGGCTGCAAAACCATTCAAAAAATTAGCTTTATTGAAAACTAAGTTTAGACGGAATATCAATCAAAGATAGACACAATAGTTTACATTGGCATTGTGTTCTAACAAGACTTCCATAGCATCTTTTTGGTCGTGGCCTGCAGCCCAGATTAGTGGCGTGCCAGACTCGCTTTGAGAATCAACAGGGACACCTCTAGAAAGCAACTCCTTTAGCAACTCGATTTCCCCTAATATGATCAAAACAGAACATTTCGTGATCTGAGAAAGCGAAACGAAATATATAACAGACTGATAACCAACCTGTCCCAGCCGCATGATGCAATGCTGTGGCTCCTAGTTCACTTGCAATATTAGGATCGGCTCCATGATCTAAAAGATACTTTGCCGTTGCAATCTGTCCTTGCCTTGCAGCATGAACAAGTGGAGTATCTCCTGCAACACCATCACAATCTCACAGATCAAAAATTTCAAAAGTAAAGAAATTTGGGAATTAGAATTAAGTTCTGCAACTGTGAAATATAATGAAACACGAACCAGCTTCATCTTTTGTATCGGCGTCGAGTTTCAGCTCTTCCAAGAGATATCTGCAGATTTCAGTTTGTCCTTCTCTCGCAGCGAAATGAAGCGCCCCACGTTTGTTTGCGTCTTTGATACTGTCAACAGTTTTTGTTATGTCTTTTTCTTCATCAAGCTGCTGAGCAACCTCTGCTTGGAGAAGAGATATTAGGGCCAATTAGATACAATATAACATAGGGACGTTAATTACATTAAAAAGAAATGTAATTAACGAACTCACTCTTAAGGAAATCAAGATTTCCGGTACAAGCTGCATTCAGGAATTGTTGAACTTTCTCCCTCGCTACAATAACAATTCAAAAGGAGGCAAAAAAGCAAACAAAAAGTTAATGGTTCAATACCCAAATCAGAGCCAATTCATAATATTGATTCTCAATCAGCAATTCGAGTTTCTCAAGTTCCAGTTATAGCCATAACACTGAAAGTTTCACCAAAAGGAAGAAGAAACGGGAGCGACAAAAAGAAAAAAAGCGAAATTTATTTATCAGATTAATTCAACTAAAGAAAACTATGATAGCCCAGATAGAAATCTCGATTTCATATATATACGAAGACAGAGATCGATACATCTTTTCTAACATATAGAAGCAGGAAGAGAGCAGACCTGCAAGAGCAGCAGAAGCATCAGGAGCCATGGTAGCTTATAAGCTAATATCTCGGTTAAATTAAAGAAACTTTGAAGTGAGTTTGAAGTGGGTTTGAGTGTCTGAGTTACTTCGTTCGTCGATACCGGAGTTTGTGTCTGATTCTCAGAAATCTGAAGAAGGTTTTGAGGCTTTTAGGTTTTAAGAAGAATCCAGAGGTGTTTTTTTTCTTTTCTTTCAATAAATTTGAATTTTACACCCTCACATATACTAGTATTCCAAGACAAACCCAATAATTTTTATTTGTACAAAATAGCCCTAACTTCTCATATCTCTTCATTTTTCCTCTTGCGGGTTCAACGTTAGATGCATATTGGCCCAAAATATCAAAAGAGTTTCTGATTTTATTATTATCCAATCCAAGACCATATCATATACAGTTTATGAACAAGAAAGGCTTTTTTTCCTTCATCTTTGTTCCCTTTGCACAGAGTATATACAGAGCCATAATCTTCTTCTCTTTTTCAACATTTCGTTTCTTTCTCCCAAAATTTTCTCTCTTTTTTTTTTGCTTCTTTGTTTCTTCAGAATCCTAATAAAAGGATTATTTTCTTCCTATCTCTCAAAAGAAAATCTGAGTGATTGAAGCTTACAATCACATATACACTTATCAATAAGTCTGCATCACAGAGCATGCAACTGCTTGTGCCCAATGTCTCAATCTCTGCTTTACTTGTTGAGGATCGTCCCCTGCAAAAATATCACTCAAATTCATGATTTTGATCATTATCCAAAACTCAACAGCAAAAGTATCATCTTTTTTTTCTTGGTTACCTGGGCATAAGATCTTTAATGAATCTGAATCAGTTTTCTTCGGGCTACCTGGCATACTGTTCGAGAAAACTGATGCAGATGCGCTGCTGCTACGGCTGCTGCTAGGTGAAGGGAGAGGCGAGAGCTGACGATTCACTGCAAAGTAAAGATCAAGAGCTGGTAAAGTATTGCAGAGCTTTTGTCCTGCTTCTTCATTGAACCCGAAACCAAGCTCAATGGATCCTTTTAGCTCGTTTAAATCCTCATCTGTTAGTTTCGACTGTTCAATAAGATTGTCTGAAACGCCTTTATGAAGCAGCTTCTTCTCCTGAATCATTATCATCTGACGTCTTCTTCTTTCCCAAGCAATGTCTCGTGGTGTCTCGCACATAGATAGTTGTTTTGATAATCGTTGTTTCGGTTTCTGTGAAGCCACCGGCGTTGTTGCTGTTGTTCTGACCTCGGGAAGCGCCGGTCTTAAGATTGGCAATGTAAGATTTTCTCTTCTTCTCACCATTTGTTTCTTCTTTCTATTTCTCACTTGATGTGTATATAAAGCAGAGTGACCGGAAGCTAATGTGTTATGAACAGAGCCGGCCTTGAGTTTTAAGTGGCCGCAAGCTAAAATAATAAATGGGCCGTTTTATAACTAAAAAAATAGACAATTTTATATCTTAAAAAAATGGACCGCAAATTAAAGAAAAATTTTGTATAAAAAAATAGGGCCGCAAGCCTATGTTTGTACTGCTTGGCTTCAGGGCCGGCTCTGGTTATGAAGATGTGGCTTGTGGATGCTGCAAAGAAATATGGGTTTTTCTTTCTGGTTTTACTAACACCTCTTTAAGAGATTATCAAAGCTTTAAGCTTTTGAATCTTGTGGATATTTTTTTAAAATGTATGTTCTTTGTGTGATGGCCGCGTGCGAACATATAACGCGGCCAACAAAGAGGTTATAACGGGTCGGGTTGATCAGATGTCTTCTTTATGCCCTTTTTCTAGTTGGATTTTGCCCAACCCGACCAGATAAACTTTGAGGAGACTCAAGGTGCTTTAATGGAGGATAGCAAACTAGTTTCCACCATTGATCTATGCAATGGATAGAGTACAAAGCTATTTTCCTCCATTGTTTAATTTTGATCATTGACTCAACCATATCTCCAGGGACTTTCTTTGTTTAGATATTTGACCATTCCAAGAAAAGACTTTTAGAAATTATCCTAGTAGTCTATCTCGATCAAGTCAATATTTCAAAACTTATTTACAATTTTGGAAAAAAAAATATAGTTTACGAGTTTCTATATTTAGATTTCGTATGAATTTATGTTGTAATCAAAGGAAAAAAAAGGTCTTTAACCATATGCTAAACATAGTTTGTTCGGGTAGTCCTCTCCTCCATGGATTCTCTACCTACTTACTGTTTCTCTTTCAAACAGAATAACAGAGAATGAGGAAAACACCAACACCAGTAACCTCATTGCACAGAAAACATACCAGACAAAGCGAGAAAATAGAAAAGGAAGAAGAACGACCACACGCTTTCAGTCTTGCCTGGTTTTTGCTTCTTGTTGATCCAGGCAAGCCTTGTGTTCTGAGTTTTCATGGTTAGGTCATAAAAAAAAAAAAAAAGAACAGGCTTCCAGCTTTGTCTGCGGGCGTAAAAAGAGACGCCTTTCCGATCTTAGTTCTTCAAAAAAAAAAGAAGCCTTTTTATTTTTCTTTTTTATTTCTCTCCCGTAGGCCATAAGAGCATCTACCCGTTGATGTTTAAGCCATGAACGGGGAAACTCGGATCTTCTGTTCCCTCTTGTGTCTCTCTATTCTCCTGGTTACTCCAACTAGATCTAACGGTAAAGATTTTGCGTTGAGCTGTGGGGCATCAGAAGCTTCTACTGACCAAGACAAGAAAGAATGGGAACCAGACACAAAGTTTCTAAAGACAGGAAACTCTATCCACGCACCAGCTACGTATCAAGACCCTTCACTTCTCTCTACGGTTCCTTATATGACAGCCAGAATCTTTACAGCTCCAGCAACTTATGAAATCCCGGTTAAAGGAGACACAAGGCATTTGCTTCGGTTACATTTCTACCCATCAACATACACCGGCCTCAACATTTCCAACTCCTACTTCGCTGTGGCAGCTAACGATGTTACCCTTTTGAGCAATTTTAGCGCCGCTATCACGTGTCAAGCCTTGACACAGGCTTATCTGGTTAGAGAATATTCTCTTGCACCCACCCAAAAAGATGCTTTGAGCATTACGTTTACCCCATCAGATAAGTACCCAGACACATTCGCCTTCATAAACGGTATCGAGGTGATTCAGATGCCGGAACTGTTTGATACGGCGGTTCTTGTTGGTTTTTCGGACCAGACAGTGGATGCCAAGACCGCAAATCTCCAGTCAATGTTTAGGCTTAATGTTGGCGGACAGGACATCCCTGGAAGCCAGGACTCCGGTGGGTTAACAAGAACATGGTACAACGATGCGCCTTACATATTTAGCGCAGGTCTTGGTGTTACACTTCAAGCAACCAACAATTTCAAGATCAATTACGACAAAATGCCAGTCTCTACAGCTCCAGCAGATGTGTACAAAACGGCCAGAACTCAAGGCCCAGACGGGAATATCAACATCAAATCCAATCTTACATGGCTGTTCCAAGTCGATACAAATTTCACTTACATCTTGAGACTCCATTTCTGCGAATTCCAGCTCTCCAAGGTCAACCAGAAGGCTTTCAACATTTACATCAATAACAAAACAGCGCAGGCAGATGCTGTTGCCGCAGATATAATCGCGTGGACAGGAGAGAAAGGAATCCCAACATACAAAGACTACGCGATATTTGTTGATGCTAACAACGGAGGTGAGGAGATTACACTTCAGATGACACCATCAACATGGGCTAAACCGGAGTATCTTGATTCACAGCTTAACGGGTTAGAGATTTTCAAGACGGACGCCATGAAAAACCTTGCGGGTCCAAACCCGGAGCCATCGCCTATGCAAGCTGAGTCAGAGGTCAGAAAAGAATTCAAGAACGAAAAGAGAACTGCTTTCATCATTGGCTCGGCTGGAGGAGTCGCTGCGGTTTTACTCTGTGCGCTGTGTTTTACGGTCTATCAGAAAAAACGAGGATACCAAGGAGGCGACTCTCACACATCAAGTTGGCTTCCTCTATATGGAAACTCTACCACATCAGGAACCAAATCAACCATCTCAGGGAAAAGCAACAATGGGAGCCACCTAACCAATCTCGCGGCAGGTTTATGCCGCAGATTCTCTTTACCCGAAATCAAACACGGAACTCAGAACTTCGACGATTCCAACGTTATTGGAGTTGGAGGGTTTGGTAAAGTCTACAAAGGAGTCATAGACGGGACAACCAAAGTTGCGATTAAACGATCAAACCCAAACTCAGAACAAGGGCTTAACGAATTCGAGACGGAAATCGAGCTTCTCTCCAGGTTAAGGCACAAGCACTTGGTGTCTCTGATCGGATACTGCGACGACGGAGGCGAAATGTGTCTCATTTACGATTACATGGCGTTAGGGACACTCCGTGAGCATCTCTACAACACGAAGAAACCACAGTTAACTTGGAAACGAAGGCTAGAGATCGCCATCGGAGCTGCAAGAGGGCTACATTACCTCCACACAGGAGCAAAATACACGATTATACACAGAGACGTTAAAACGACAAATATCTTGGTAGATGAGAATTGGGTAGCGAAAGTTTCCGACTTTGGTTTATCCAAAACCGGACCTAACATGAACGGAGGTCATGTAACAACCGTCGTCAAGGGGAGTTTCGGTTATCTAGATCCAGAATACTTCAGAAGACAACAGTTGACTGAGAAATCAGATGTTTACTCATTCGGGGTTGTTCTGTTCGAGATCTTATGCGCTAGGCCGGCGTTAAACCCTAGCTTGCCCAAGGAACAAGTGAGCCTCGGAGATTGGGCGATGAATTGCAAACGGAAAGGGACTCTAGAGGATATAATCGATCCGAATCTGAAAGGTAAGATCAATTCGGAGTGTCTGAAGAAATTTGCGGACACGGCGGAGAAGTGTCTCTCCGATAGTGGATTAGACCGGCCGACGATGGGAGATGTCTTGTGGAATCTCGAGTTCGCACTTCAGCTCCAGGAAACTGCCGATGGAACTCGTCACCGGACTCCGATCAACGGAGGAAGCTCAGAGGATATCGGCGGAGGAGGTATGGTGGCGGTTAACTTGGGCGGCAGAGGCGAAGATCACGACGTCAGTGACCTTTCCTCAGAGGACAACAGTGGAATTTTCTCTCAGATTGTAAATCCTAAAGGACGATAAGGTCATTTCACAACCCTTACATTCATTTCTGATTTTTTTTTCCTAATTTGTTTTTTTTTGGTATGACCATTTTTTTTTTTTTCTTATTTTGATGAGAGACAAAAAACAAGTCGAAGTTATCTTAATTTTTTGTTTTGTTTTTGTTTTTGACAGGCAATTACAAACTTGAAGTGATGATATATCATTTATGAATAATCAATCGAAACATTTGTAAAGTTATATCCCTTTGTGATTACATTACATGTACTCAACAATCTGTATTACAATTCGTAGTTAGAATTTTCTGAGGCAGTTTTTGTCGGATGAGACCAATATACTATTTTCTTTTTGAGTTTATTGTAGTAAGCCAAAGCTAGAAACAACGAATTATGAAGATATATTACAGAAAATTTGGAGAGCTTTTAAATGGCATCACGGTTCAGGTCGGTTAAAAAGAGTCAGAAGCGGGAAGAAATAATTTTCCAATTTACCCTTATCGAAAAATGGAAACAAAATCCACATTAAAAAGCGTTATAACCCTAAGCTAAACTGTTTTCATCACTCCGTGTCTAAATTCTCTGTTTCTCTCTCCCCGAACACACTTTGGCGTATTTCCTCCTCCTCTTCTCCTCTCCGTCAAATCGCCATTGTCTCTCCGTTCATCCTTCGCCGCCGTCTGTCTTCTCGCCGTTAACCCTTTTTGGTAATTTTTCTTTTCTCTCTTTCTCGCTCGTTCTCTCTTGCTCAATTATAGGATTCGGAAGCTCTCGTTTTAAATAAACTCTTTCTCTATTACTGTTCTCTCATATGTCATAACTCTCTCTGAGAATATATATGATTTTGAGATTTTCTCAGCTTTTAGTTACTCTCTCACTTGGTTTAGTTATAGAAATAGTTTTTCATATATTGTTTGTTTGAGATTGAATTTCTGTTGCGCTGTATAATTCCGAGATCAAGATTGAAGTGTAAATCTAGCCAAGTCTGCATCTTTATTCCCTGTTTTACTTCTTAAAATTAAGACCTTTTTTCCTTCTTTTCAAATCTTTGCAGCTATAAACTTGGCTAGACACCTTTTTCGATAAGACTGAACGAGAGGGCTCCTATTATTCTGGGTGCTCGTCTTCTCTATTACTCCGAGTGAAAGCATGGCTTACGGTGGTCCGTCGATGAATCCACCGGCTATGAGTGGCGCGGTTTCTGGGTCCGGTAATCTTAAGCAAGTGAAATTGGAGAGAGAAAGCGAACTAAGGATTGAAGTCTCTGACGAGCCTCTCAGACTCCGTGTGGTGAACGGGACGGCTGAGATATTCGGCTCTGAACTGCCTCCTGAAATCTGGCGTACCTTCCCTCCTCGCCTGAAATTTGCGGTATGTTTTTTTCCACCTATACAATCTTTTTTTTCTTTTTAGAGAGAGATTGTAACCATTATGATTTTGACTATTAGATCAGATTAGCTTGTTGGTAAGAAACTTTGGTTTTGTTAGAATAAAGAGCCTTTCTTGATTGAGTTTTTTTGTTATGGTTTATCTTCCTCGAAGTGGGTTCTTGAGTTGCCATCCTCTAGGCTTCGTTGGTTGGAAAGGTACATCCTTTGCCAGTGAAGATTGATGGTCTTTGGGTTTTCGTGGGTCGAAAGACTTAAACTTTAGGCAGTTATATGACGGATCAGTTGCTTAGTTTAGAATCGTTAAGTTAGTTCGTAATATTCTTGAAGAGATAGGTGGTTCTTGCGAGTTTCTCTCTGGTGTTTTTCCCTTCTGGTAAATTTTCCTTATAAAGCTGAAGATCATTACTCTGAAACCTTGTGTCGCCTTTTGATTAATGTCAGGTTTTCACCTGGTATGGAGCAACAATTGAGATGGATGGTGTCACGGAAACTGACTATACAGCAGATGAGGTAGGGTTCTTGTTACATTTCCGCGCTTCTTCCTCTAGATATTTAGAGCAAAAATTGCCTACTTATATAATTTCTCGGTTTTTTAGACACCAATGGTCAGCTACGTTAATGTGCACGCCATACTAGATGCAAGGAGGCGTTCTGCCAAAGCTTCCACGTCTACTGACTCAGGATCTACTCAGGTACTTGTCTTCGATGATCTTGTTGTTGTATGCGATTTTATCGAGTAGAAAGATAAGAATCTGCTTCGTGCAGGGACCTCGGGTTATTGTAGTAGGGCCTACGGATTCCGGAAAGAGCACGTTGACAAAGATGCTTCTTAGTTGGGCAGCCAAACAGGGATGGAAGCCAACATTTGTAGACCTTGATATTGGCCAAGGCTCGATTACAATTCCAGGAACTATTGCTGCTACTCCTATAGAAATGCCTCTGGATCCAGTTGAAGGTGTTCCTCTTGATATGGCCCTCGTGTACTATTACGGCCACATCCAGCCGAGGTAAGCGATTTTCAAAATTCTCCCCACATTATACGTCATTTCTGCTGATGTATAAATTTGAAAAGTTTGTCTATGTTTACTCTCTCAGTAAGAACGTTGAGCTGTACAAAGCTCTGGTGAAAGAGCTTGCTCAAGTGCTGGAGAGACAGTTTACTGGAAACCCTGAATCTCGAGCTGCTGGACTGGTGATCAACACAATGGGTTGGATCGAGGGCGTCGGTTATGAGGTAAAAGCTAGCTCCTTTTTCTTGTATAGATGGCTCCTCTTTGAGCGTATCTTCTTGTAAAAGCCTTAACGTTATCTGTGTTTGTTTTGCAGCTGCTTCTCCACGCGATCGACACATTCAACACCTCGGTTGTGCTTGTACTAGGTCAGGAAAAACTCTTCAGCATGCTTAAAGATGTGCTTAGAAGCAAGAGTAACGTCGATGTCGTGAAACTTCACAAGTCAGGAGGAGTTGTAGCCAGGGACAGTAATTACCGTAAAGGATCAAGGAGTTCTAGGATTCAGGTTACCATATTTTCATGGCTTTTGATAACCTCTTTTTCATGCTGTTAAGAGGAGAAATTTAGAACACGGAAACTTAAAATTTTGCAGGAATACTTTTACGGACTATCGAAAGAACTGTCTCCGTATGCCAACACAGCGAGTTTCAATGATCTGCAAGTGTTCCGCATTGGTGGTGGACCTCAAGCTCCAAGATCAGCTCTTCCAATCGGGTCTGACCCGGTTTCTAATCCATTGAGGGTAACGCCTGTAAAGATTGATGATCAAATACTGCTGCATTCTGTTCTCGCTGTCTCATATGCAGAAGAACCAGACCAGATCATCTCAAGGTAAATCTCAAAAAGTTCTTGCTGTTTCTAAAATCAAAGGCGTCTGTTTATTTTTTTTATATATATTTCCGGGTCCTTGCGTTTTTCATGATTCTTTGGTTCTTTGTATGCAGCAATGTTTCTGGGTTTGTGTATGTGACGGAAGTTGATGTGCAGAGGAAGAAGATAACGTTTTTAGCACCATCGCCTGGGGCATTGCCCAGCAAGTTCTTGGTCGCTGGGTCTTTGTCATGGCTCGAGTCAGTAGAAGCAAGAAGATGATTAACTTAGAGAATAGAGGGCCATGTTGTCTTGCTAAGAAGGGCAAATGATTTGTAGTGTTTTTGGTGATCTTGTTTTCGTCATGATATCATTTTTTTTTATGTTATTGATTTCATACCTTGGAATATTTCAGAAAAGTAAATGATAATTTTCTCACGTCATTCTTTATCTTAATTTAACTAGATAACTATATCACACCACTTCAATAGCTGTATCGTTGCAATAAGTTTCAGATTTAAGAATCGGATCCAAAGAATATTAGATGTTCTGTCTACTCAAGCTGCATTCATCTTTTCTTTTATTTTGTGCTTTTTCATAAAGAGATTATTAAATATGTATTGTGATACTCCTAGGAATACAAGTTTAAAGACAAGAAATCATGAAGCATCGTAAAAGTCTAGTATGTAAAGTATTATTAATTTATACTAATTAACTGCAAACTATATAGGGTCCATAACTACTTTTGAATAGTAAGTAAATCTATTGGGAATCTTGATAAACAAGTAGGATTTAATGTACCAAGACATGAAGCCTGAATTTATTTATCGCAATAGTCAAATATGTAGTATGTAAAACAATTACCGTAGGCGATTTAATTTGTAAATGAGAAATCTCCAAAAATTAAATTCATATGCTATAAGATCTTATATTCTTTGATAGGCCTCATATCTGAACCTGCATATTAAATACAGAATCTCCTCATAATTTGACTAACTATGAGAATATAGCAAGAAAGTTTCACTTATCACCATTGTGAAGATCATAAAACAAGAACAAAAAGAAAAAACCGTAAAGAAAAAACAAAAAATAGAGCCAGTCAACAATCGTGCTACAACGTGCTAGAGAGACGTGTTAAAATCTGTACCGTTACTTCGCCAGTTACGTGCTCGGTATTCGAAATCGCAATGAGACACGTGGGTCCACAATTGACATCTTTTTTCCCCTCGGCGACTTCATGAAAAATATACTGTGCGTAAAAGACTACTAATAATAGTATATCTAACAAATAAATATCTTGGATTTATTTATTATAAAACATTTGTTGTTACTAAACGTATTATATAACTAAATCTCGGCAAAAAAATAGATACACCTGAGAAAAAAATAAAAATAATTTATACAGCGAACAAAACCAAAATTTAACATACTGTATATGATAAGGAATAAGCATAGCACAAGAACTTTTCTTGGTCATTGTACAATTTTTTAAAAAATGAAAAAATCATATGTGATCTATATTCCATTCTCTCTCTTTCTCTCATATTTTTTTTCTCTTATTTTTTGCTTTCGCAGAATTGCTTTTAAAGATGTTAATATACATTATCAAATTTATTTTTGATAAGGTTATCTATGGTTTACCTATAATTTAATCATTTTAAATTTGCACGAAAAATAGTAGGTGCAAAGTAGGTCCACTAGTAGGACCCACCTTGAAATCTTTAGCAGAGGACTCTGTTTTTTTTTTTTCTCTCCTCTGAGACTGCGACGACAACCTCTCTGCTCTGATGTCTTTACTTTAGTTATAATATTACTACAAGTTTAGCTTTTTGTTTTTAAAAAGAAATTGACTGAGTTTTGGTTTCCTTGAGATTTTTTCTTTGAATAAACGAAGAATATTAGGAAACAAAAGGCTTTTGTATTTTAAAATTTTAATGGTGGTGGGGGAATTTTAAGTAAAAGCAAGTCTAACTCTTCCCCACCCACAAAGTGGAGAAAGCAAAAGTCATAACCTTTGACGCTTTTTCTCAACATCTCTCTCTTCTCTCACAAACAAACAAACAAACAAGAACAATCTTTCTCTTTTATTTTATTCTAATCTCCTCGTTGATTTCTTGCTCATGAGCTGATTCTATCTTCTGGGTGTTCACAAGGATCTCATTTTTCTTTTAGCTCTAAAATTTGAGGGATGTTTTTGTTTTTCCTTCTCATAAGCTAAGTTTATCTTTCTGGGTATAGACAAAAGATCTCATCTTTTAGCTCTTGAATTGAGGGAGTTTCGATTTTACTTTACACAGTGAGTTGGAGAGATTCAGCATTTTGGGGGAAGTAACTAAATGCTGATTGGTTTCTTAATATTTAGGGGTTGAGTTTTGGATTTTTCACGCGCCTTGGATTTGATCTCTATTTAGCTTTTTAATGTGCAACTCTTCTTTCATGTCTTATCGGTTTAGATTCACTGGGATTTCGATTTTGGGCTCTTTTGTTATAGGTTGCAAATTCCATCTTTTTAGGTTCTGGGATTGATATGATTGTCTTGTAGTTCTCGTGAGATTTTGGTGTTAATTTTAGTTTGTGAATTCAGATATTAGGGGTTTCTTGTTCTCTCCTCTGGAAAGAAAAAAAAATGGAGGAAGTTGAAGCTGCTAGCAAATCAGCTATCGAAAGCTGTCATGGAGTCTTAAATCTCTTGTCACAACAAGGCAATGATTCCAACTCTCTCATGGTTGAAACAAGAGAAGCAGTTTCCAAGTTCAAGAAAGTAGCCTCCCTATTAACCAGAGGGTCAGGTCATGGAAAGTTTAGGAGAATCAACAACAAGTTTAGGTCATCTTTTCCTCAACATATCTTCTTGGAGAGCCCTATTTGCTGTGTTAATGATGTGAGTAGTGACTACACTCAAGTTCTTGCACCAGAGCCTCTTCAGATGGTTCCAGCTTCTGTTGTTTATGACGAGATTGACCCAAAACACCAATTGGGTCATCCTCCATTGATGCTTAGTCACAAAATGCGTGTTGAGAGGTCGTTTCTGGAGTTAAAGCCACCGCCTTTTCGAGCTCCTTATCAGTTAATCCACAACCACCAGCAAATAGCTTACTCTAGGAGCAATAGCGGTGTAAACCTCAAGTTTGATGGATCTGGGAGTAGTTGCTATACACCGAGTGTATCGAACGGATCGAGATCATTTGTATCATCTCTTAGTATGGATGCTAGTGTGGCGGATTACGATAGGAGCTCGTTCCATATAACCGGATTATCTGACCAGATATCGCAGCACTCCCGGAAGATGTGCTCTGGTAGCTTGAAATGCGGAAGTCGAAGCAAATGTCATTGTTCCAAGAAAAGGTTTGTCATTTTCTCTGTGGCTATGTGACCCGATAATTTTGTTCTGGATCTCTTTGTAATGGTTTGAGTTGATAAACAGGAAACTTAGGGTGAAACGATCAATCAAGGTGCCTGCAATTAGTAACAAGATTGCGGATATTCCTCCAGATGAGTATTCATGGAGGAAATATGGGCAGAAACCGATAAAGGGTTCACCACATCCACGGTATATAGATTCATCTTTTTGGTGGAAGATTCCTCTAAATTTGTGTCCATTTTGATATATATATCATTTCCTTAATTTTGCAGGGGATATTACAAATGCAGCAGTGTGAGAGGTTGTCCGGCAAGGAAGCATGTGGAGCGATGTATTGATGAAACTTCGATGTTGATTGTGACTTACGAAGGCGAACATAGCCATTCCAGAATATTGTCTTCACAATCAGCTCACACCTGATGAAAAGTATCGACTTTACTCATCTACTTTCTGATTTGAAGAAGAATGAATTAGGTTCAAGAAACTGGTCTTTGTAGCTTGTGATTTGCAATTGTATGTATTCCACTTTTGGCATGAGTTATAAGAGCACTTGTGAACTCGGATTCTGTGACAGTATCAAGAAGCAATCAAGCATCAATTTGGCTTCAGCAGAGCATTTTGAACTATGTATCGATGAAACTTGGATATTAATTGTGACTTACGAATCAATCGGAGAATATACACACACACATAACATTCTTCATGAAACAAAGCACTAAACCAAAACTAGACTTTAATCAAGACATACTTGCACAGTTGCATAATCCACAAGTATACAAAAGCCATTAATGAATATATTGTTGAATCAGATGTAAATATAAGGAAGAGTCTTAAACTACTAGTATATCCGAGAACAGAAATGGAACCTGAACAAGAAAGAAAAAGTTCAGGCAAACACCAGAAGAATGAAGATTCCCTTACCATTCAGAGAAACATAGGACTCTCTACATGATCGAAAAAGACTTGGATAGCAGCAGAGTCATCTCCAATTCCTTCAACAAAAACTTTTCTGACAATTTTTTCTTTGGGATCGTAACAAATAAAAAAGTAGGGGTTAGGGCAAGCGAGCATTGCAAGTATAATCTCGCCAGTACCAAGTATACCCCTGAACGTGAACAAGTGTTCATTCCCAGCTATATCTGTCCAAGAAGGAGCCACGGAAGCAGCTTTAGACCATTCTTCTTTGTTGGTATTTTCCAGAACCCATAGGTCGATTGTGCCGTTATATGCCTGACTCGCTATGGTTATCTTTCCAGTGTGATTCACCAGATTACCAAACTCTTGCAGTGTATAATCCTCGGGTAGCTTAGTAACATCAAACTCTTCAGATCTCAGATCGAAGCTTATTAGAGATCGTTTATCCTTAAAAGAAGCTAAATAATACAAAACACCGTCCCTGCATATCACTTTAGAATTAGAGTAATGACGATGTGGATACTTACATTCCATCATTCTCCATTTCTGTCTAGGCCCTAGAGTGAAAACTTGATGCTCCTTCGACAAAGCATGTCGTGTTCGACGTCGTCTACTCGTCACCGTCATGCACAACACTTTGAACACATCATTAACAGGATCATATCCAAAAGCAGAGAGTATGTCTTGTCTACACGTTTTGACTCTTGGTAACGTTACGAACTGACCCGTGCTAGGGTTTCCAATTATCATTTTAGTACCGTTTCGACCGCAGATCAAGCCGCGGATGGGTGTAGAAAAACTATACCTTGGATCCGAAGTCAGAGTATAACTAACCCTATGATGATCAGAAGAAGACGGATCCTCCTGAGAGCAGGATTGAAAAAACCGCGTCTGCACGTCACCGGGAAGGTAGACTGAGAAAAGAAGACGTGGCCGAGTCGAAGATCGAGTCAGGTACAAGTTAGTGAAGTCTTTGCTGCGGATTATCGAGGACCAGTTTTTAGACACGAAAGAGAGCATGGCTATTGATTTCGGCGGCAACTTCATGAGAATCTCGACTTTCAGTTCCAGAGGAATAGTCGAAAACGGGTCGTTTTCATCGCTTTCGTCTCGTTTCTGAGACCTCGTGACTCTTTTTTTCATGGCCGTTTCCAACGCCGCACACCTTCGTTTGACTCGTAAACCTAAATATCCTTACTCTTTCTTAAACCTGAGACTTGCCACGCCGGCGACACCAATTCCTTTATATGTGTAAACAATGTATCAACATTTTCGGGCTTTGTAAAATAGAAACCTCCTATTTTCAAATTTTAACCGATTAATGCTCTTTTATTTATCTTGGCGCGATGGAAATCCTTGTGACAAAAAATCAACACTTTTGATTTTTGAAAAAAAACACTAAAGACTACTGTTTGTACATTTGCAAACACTTTTGCTATTTCTATTGATTTTTTTTTGCAGAGAATAAACATAATTCATCTGCTTCTTTCGATGATGTTCTGTTTCATATAGCGTCTTAAATGTGACTAATCAATGAAAAGTCAAGCTCAGCCAGCTCCACACAAAACTATTATTGTCCGAGATCTTAACTGAGAGGCTCTGATAAAATAGAACTGGTTATTGAGAGCGAGCGGTGAAAATATAAGCTCTCCAGTACAAAGTATATCCCTGAACCTGAACCGTTGTATCCCAGCCGTGGTTGAAGATCGAGATAGAGAAGTACAAAGCTTTGTGGGAGAAATATGAAAAAATGGGAAAGTATTGTTTGTATTTATTCACGAAGTTGAGTATTTATACGTTGATTACAGTTACCCTCTAATGCAACAATGCAATTTTTAGTGAATATCTTAAGAGTTCATAGTTTTACTTTCTCTTCTAGACAGCCATGTCTTTTTCAAATTTTGGTTACAGAGACAAGAGTCTTGTATGCTCAAACACCAAATCACTTACTGTATGTTGTGATATTCAGATTCCAATGAAGCATCAGCTATTCTCTGCTTGAATACAATATATTGTTACGAAGACAAACAAACAGCAAAAAGGATCTTCGCTTCTAAGAGTATCAGATTAAGTTTTAAAGAGATGAGGAAAAACACTAGTCAAAGGATTAACCTATTTGTCAAAAGCGAGGGGCTCTCTGTGTAATTGAGAAAAGCTTCAATCTCAGAAGAACATTGATCTCCAAGTCCTTCAATTAGAACCTTTTTGGAAGTCTTATCTTTGGGATTGTAGCAAACAAAGAAGAATGAAGACGAAGGCGTAAAGGAAGGCGTCAAGGACTCGTAAGGTGCAAAGACGAGCTCATTGTCACAAGTTCCACCCTTGAACCAAAAAAGGTTCCCCAGTAACTCTTCCGGAACCACGACAGGAACTTTTAACCATTCTTGTTTGATGGCATCTTGTAGAACCAACAGGTCAAGCTTACCACGGAAAACTAACGCCGTCGCTAGAGCTATCTTTCCGCCGTAGTTCACAACTTCACAAGCCTCCTTGAGTCGGACATCCTCAGGTAGCTTGATGACATTAAACTCTTCAGAACTCAGATCAAAGCTGATGAGACATCCTTGCTTTTCGTGGATCCAAGCAAAGTAATATATAAACCCATTCATGCATAGCCCTTTAGTTCGACAAGGAGGACGATGGGGATGCTGGCACTTGATCATCCTCCACGCTGCTTTTTTAGCTCCCAGAGTGATAATCTGGTGTTCCTCAGACAAAAGCTGCGATTCGCGATCTGGTGGTGCATGTATCACCGTCATGCACAACACTTTGTATACATCATTAACCGGATCATACCCAAAAAAGCTAAATATGCCTTTTCTCCAAGTTTTGACTCTGGGTAGAGTAACGAACTGACCCGTGCTAGGGTTTCCAATCAAAACTCTACTTTGATTCTGACAGCAGATCAAGCCACGGACGGGAGGAGAAAACTTATAACGATGATCAGGGTTTGGATTCGGAGGAGCGATGCTTACCCGATGATGATCGGAAGAAGGATCGTCCTGAGGGCAGGAGAGAAAGAACTGCTTCTCAGGATTGCAGACTGTGAAGAGAAGACGCGGGCCTGTCGACGAAGAAGATCGATTAAGGTACGAGTCGATGAAACCTTTGTCGCGAACAATCGATGGCCAATCCCTAGAAACTAAGATGAGCCTGGCTACGCATTTCGACTGCAATCTGAGGAGGATCTCTCTTTTTAACTCCGGAGGAAGATTGCTCAAGTATCGTTTCTTAGATCTCGTATCGTATCCTCTTTTTCTGATCATCATCTCTTTCCTCTTAACCCTTTCCATGGCGTTTCTCATCAATTCCACTCCTCACGCTTTCACTCTCTCTCTCTCTTTTCCGTTTCATTTCATTTTTTTTTATTCTTTAAACCCATTTATCTTTACATGTTTGTGTTATTTGCAATGAAAACCTCTTGTTTTGACACTTTTTACGGGAAAAAATAACACTTTTGGGCCTTTCGTTGGTAGCCAGATTCAGCATCTCAAACCGGTCATGGTTTAGCCGCCAAGGTTGAAACTTTAAGTGTATATATGTAAGTGGGCACTGAAGTCACTGTAAGCTTTTGCAAACCTAATCTACATCGATGGGTTTTGCTTCTTGAATCTGGGATCAAGTAACAGTAGAGTGACGTATTCACAGAAGTTGATATGATTTAGCTTCTTCCTTCTCTCCCACCGATGTTAAACCAGGAAACTGGCCAATATCATGGCCAGCAAGAGGACTTAACCTATCATGTAAACCGATTTCAAACTCTTCGACATTAGCTCCACCGTTCTGCAGGAAATCCGCAATCTGCAGGCAAAATAACCAAAAAAAACATTTGTTATCGTCTTTTCTTCAGGAAATCCGCAAATTAAGACAAAAACACAACCTTGTAAAGAAGAGTCATAGGAAGCTATCTTACATGTTTTCCGAGGGCTGCACCGCTTAAGGCTGCGGATTCTAAGTTAGAACCGCGAAGCCAGTCACCGCATATACCAGCACGGCCCTGTGGATCGAATATACATGGAACTGCAGGAGTGTTCTTTGGAAGAGCTGCTCCCCTGTAAAAGATAATTGAATCACTCCACAAGTATTCAAACATTTTAAGCACTTTTTTTACTACAATGTCTGCTTACCATAGCTGGAGACGCGTATAAACCGGTTTAGGAAGCGAGCCTTCAGGCAAGCCCAATGCGATTTCCACACCTTGAAGCATCCCGGCTCTAACTTTCTCTGATGTCACCGCTGGGATGTTTTCCTATGAGAAAAGAAGGAGCTTTGTTCGATTTCTCCAGCTATTGACATTATGTTATAAGGCTTTGAAGAAACTAACCTGAGGAACTTTGTTCTGTTTCCCATATGCTGCAGTACTGAAAAACGTCCAGCAATGAGGGGCTCCGCCATTTCCAAGCTTTGCAGAGTTATTTCCCATCCAAGACAATGACTCGACTCCTTTCACAAACGCTCCCTCGAAGTTCACTGCAGGAAGAGGCTCATCGAAAGCTGCTAATAGCGCCCATATGGAACTTAGATCCAGTTTCTAGAGAAAACAAAGGAGGATTTTATCAGAAGAGGTCATAGGGTTGAAAAAGATCTGTTGCGCTGGATATTGTCTACCTTCATCTGTTTAGCAACTAGGGGCAAGCCTGATGCAGAAAGCAAACGATTCGCACATTTACCTGAACAAAAGGTGAAGCATTTTTGTATGAAAAAGTATAACAAAGCATCTGAAGCTAGGAAAGGAGATACAGATACGCGTCTTACCATTATGAGCAATGACAATCACATCAAACTGACCACGAGGTGTTCCGTTCTCGCTTAAATGCCACATTCCATTAAGTGGTTCCAGCTTACTAATCCAACAAGGCCTCACCAAGTTCACCATTTGACTCTGCAAAAAATCGACAACTATAAGTTACTTGAGCTCACAAAAATCGAAAAGGCACTATTTTTCGCTGCAAAGAGATAACATGTTAGCACCTCTAATAGCAGTGAATCAGCGAGAGATCGCATGCCATTAACAGCAATGTATCTTGGAGGTGATGATGGAGGAAACTGTGAGAAACTACCGCCAATTTCAAGCTCTCCCACAACACCTTTCCACTCTCGAACAAGTCCCTTCTCTAACCACCCATCGACATATTGGATAAATCGAGAATCATTCGCGGTGAAGAATTGAGCAGCGTGGTCGAAAATCAGTCCTTGTGGTTCAATAATCCTTGTTCCAAGTCTTCCTCCTAACCCATGTATCCCCTGCACGATTGAGATCAACGCAGCACAAAAGAGTCTTACTTGATTGCTCAAGCCACAAAATTACTAATAATTAAGCACATTAGAAACCAAAAAAAAAAAAGCTCCAACTTGAAGTGAAATCTCAAACAGCAAAAACACCCGAAACCAAAAATTTCACATCAAAGAAAGCTTGATTCAGAGTAGAAAACAGTCAAAGAAATGTGAACGAGAGAGACGAACCGTATCGAAAACTGTGGACTGGACGCCACGAGCTTCCAGGTCCAGTGCGCAGACCAGACCCGCCATTCCGCCACCGATAATCGCCACGTGGGGGTCGGCAGGAATCCGAGCGGTGAAAGTGACCTGTTCTTGTAAGAAGGATTTCTTAAGGATCGACCTTCTAGAAGTTCCATACTTGGAGGAGTTGGATTTCCGCCGTTTCTGGAAATTAGGGTTTCTGCTGGTGGGGTTTGACGTCCCAGTGTTCTTCTCGGAATCGCAGATTGTCACGGGTTTTTTCGTGGTAGATAGGTCAGGGATTCTGGGTTTAGTTATGGTTTTGAATTTCAGAGGTTGAAGAAATGAAGTAGACAGAGGGATTAAAGAAGAAGTGGCCATGGTTGAAATTTTGGAGGGAGGCGAAGATTTTATCTGTTAAGACTATCTGTTATCTTTTAAAATTTCGGATCACCAAATTACTCTATAATCCTTTTCCCCTTTCAAACTTAAGAAGGATAATTATTTTGTCTAAACAGATTTTTGTTCATTAAAGTTCAAAACAAATGTATTTAAAAACCAAATAATATCTTCTAGCAAATAATATCTTAGATAAACCACGCGGTTCTAAACAATTCGGTGTATAAACCAAGAAGATACTCGGAGACGGAAGAAAAGGCAACACAATTATGGGTTTTACGAAAGCATCTTTGCTTCTATACTTTCTATTTTTTCTCCTTCTCCAGCACCACTTTCTTCACGTGATCTCGCGATCTTCAACACAATTAGCCTCCGCTGATCAAAACCATGACAAACTCTCGGTCCAGTCAGTTGAATCGAAGCCGGCTGGTGACGCTTTCGCTGGCAAAAGAACGGAATTGGCCATCGTTGTTAAGAAGGGCGGCGGGGGTGGCGGAGGCGGTAGAGGCGGAGGTGGTTACGGCGGAGGTGGGCGTAGTTTTGGCGGAGGTGGTGGTGGGCGCAGTTTTGGCGGAGGCAGACGCGGCGGTGATAGACGTAAGGGTTTTGGCGGAGGAGGGAGAGTAGTTCCGTTTATTGGCGGTGGTGGTGGATCAAACCACGGCCGTCACCGTTCAAGCGGGACCCGGGAAAGTGCTAGCGTTTGGTTTGGTTTATCGACTTTACTCGGTTTGGTTTTGGTTTTATAGGTTTCTTTATCTGATTACCGGTTTAGGTTAAAATGTTTGATGCCGGTTTTATTTTCTACTGGTTTGCTCTCTGGATATATATGTCTAAAGAAGTTGGTTTGGTAGGCTAGTTATTAAAAGCATCAATTCGAGAAAGAAGCTTAAGAAAACTAATCTTTGTTTAATGAAGAAGATACTCTTAACCGGAATCAATTCGTAAATAATCCAACAACACTCAAAATATACAAATTTCAACATTAGGAGTTCTTCAACAATCAACATAAAAATTTCACGTTACAATTTAAACCGAGAAAGACGGTTACATTGTGAACCAACAATATGCCGGAAACAACTGAAACAAACAAAGGGTTTCTGTTTTGATTTAAGAAGATTTTCTCCGGTAAGAAGATCAAAGTTAGTTTGAGAGTAAAACACAGACCAACTCTGAGTAAAGCCTCATTCATCATCATTTTCAAGCCTCACAAGCTTCTTCCAAGGACTCGTTAACTGGTTTCAATCCATTTTTACCCTTGCCAGATCTGAAACGAGGACTGTCGTGCACAGCATTGGTGTTTTTGTTCTGAACTGTTCCGGTGCTATGTCGGTTCCGGTTAGAGGCTGTCTTCAGAATCTCTTCACGGGATGATGAGCTGATTGCGTCGCTGAAGCTTTTTCTCCGAGAAAGGATGAGTTTTGGCGACTTGGGACGGGTCAAAGGAAGCTAGAAAAAGATACATCACATAAGCTACTTTGTCACAAGAATAATGCTGAGCTCTGTACATATAGAGACATTTTGGTTCGAAATATACCTTCTTAAGCTCGGGTTTTGCAGGAGGCGCCTCGTAGTAGAAGTTGGGAACGGGTTTAGCCTTAAATTTGAGATTCTTTCTAAGTTGTTTCAAGGCTGCTTCTTGTTCTTCCTGCAAAACATTGAAATCAATGACTTTTTCCGTTTAGAATCCGAAAAGACTGCCTCAACCGGGAAATTTGTACTTTACCTTTTGCCTTTGTTCAAGCTCGTTCCTTTCGGCTTCAAGCGCTTGGTTTTTTTCTTCGAGCTTTTGGTAATACTAAGCCACACAAAAAGATCAATCAGTAAACAGAACAGTGTAGACTTTCTATGAGAGTGCCCAAGTTTATGTTCAGATTATATTACTGATTATGAGTTCACGTGATGCAGCGTTGCTACACAACCTCTTCAACAGAGATTTGGAAGCAGAAAGGTGGAAGATTTACTTACCTCTCTGCGTTTCTCAGCACGTTGGGCACTCCTGAACGTTGGAGCACTTCCGTGAGTCACTCCGGACTTACCCATCCTCATGGAAGTTGCCACACTGTAAGGAGCATTATCGTTAAGGAACATTACCGGTTATGTCAAGTATTCAATTACATACATACATATAGCATCAAGTATCAAATGATAGAGGCAAGCAAAGGATACGAAGAAGCGATTGAGCAATTATCATCGTCATCGATATGCTTCTTGTTCTCGGGTTGCAATGGCTTTCTCACAGCAAGAAGTGGAGCATCGTGCTGCAAAAGCCATAAACAAACGGGTCAAAATCGCCCTTAGGCCTCAATCATGCATCACTCTCTCCTATCGTCTAACATAACATTATAGTTCCTCAATTCTTCAAAATCAAGATTTCAAATTAGTTTTTACCTTTGAAACTTTAGCAGTTCCATTACGGGTTTTAGGAGACTTTTGAGCTCCGATTCTCTCAGCAGATTCTACTTTTGGTGCATTCTCGGAAAGAGAATCCTCCTCGGTGCATTCCTTGACTTCAAATTCCTCCTCAGACTCCTCAGCTGCTATCTTCGGAGCAACGTGAACTCTACCGCTTGAAACATCGGCATTTCGGTCCATAAGCACCTCAACAACTTCTCTTCCCATTCCACTGCTTATATCACCAACCATACAAAACAAAGAGCCTCTCTATTACGCAGATTCTCAAGATCCAATTCAATTTCTAAGATCTAAGAATGTATTCACCTTCGACTTTCCCTCTACCCTATCGTACAAACAAACAAACAAAAAAACTAATATTTGTCAAGTTTGCAACATTTTTTTCCATCTTACATATCAAATTTAGGATGTAAGGAGCACAGATTGGTTCAAAAGTAAGAACATTCTTGAATCCGAAATGGTATGAAATTTTTTGAGAGAGACACATACGAATTATTCAAAAGTGAAACCAACACGCCTAAACAACCCCAGATGAAGAAAGAGTCAAGGGAAATTGGAAAAAAAAATCGTAAATGAAATCAGAAAGGAAAAACGAGGAAATTTTAAAGTTTTGCAAGCAATTTTACAGAAAGAAGCAGATTTTTGAGGAAGAACAGAACAGGTAAGAGAGTGATTATTGAAAATGCAGAAAGAAATTGGTCTTACAAGTCTTGTGTAGGATTGGGGAAGGATTCTTGTGCACCACCTCTGTCTCCTCTCTCCGATCGCCCGTGAGAATTTTGCAGACAAAATAGAAATGAATGTCTTTATCCACAACAAAGTTGTCTCCCTCTCTCTCTCTCTCTCAAGAAAAAAAAAAGGGATTTTTTTGGGCGGTGACTATTTTGGAATTGTGTTTGATTTGTTAAGCTGTTTGATTATTTATCGGGACTTTTCAAATTTTAATAATTCTTTTTTTCATTCATTCAAGCCGTTTACTTTATTTTTTTGGATTTTCTTGGCGCTTTGATTTCCTTTTGCCTACTAATAAACCTTCTGATTCATTCAAATTTAAATCAACATTTGAACAAATAGATTCAATCTAAATAGTGACAATGTACTGTACCTTTTCTGGTAAAAATAAATTTGGTTTCATATTAAAATTTGTGAATTGGAAAAGATGGACTAAATTCATAACTCATTAGCTTATACACAGTTGATTATTTTTACTTTGTTTTAAAAGGTGGTTGCATGTATATGAATCAATACTCATTGAACTAAAAGAAAAATACTCATCTTGAACCAATATTTACTTCTTCTTTTTCTTTAATTCTGTAAGTTTAATTTCTTTTAGAATATTCAGAAATGTCATCATTTGAAAAAATAAATAATAATTACTTCTCAAGATGTCTAGTTAGTAAATCCAAATGATTATCCTACAACGAACACAAATATTTGACTAGTGAAAGTAAATTTTATATTGCATTTTAATTCAATTTATTATTATTTCAAACGTTTTGTAATAACTAGCATGAGATGTCTAAAGTGCACGGTTAGATACTTAGATATCCAATATCTGAAATGAGAATCTAATATATTATGACATTCGACATGTTTCATCAATAAACAATCACAGTAAACATGTTTTTTTGTTAGCAATCAGGTCTCTACTCGCTCAGAAGGAAGTTCAAAGTGACTTGAAAAATAAAATAACCATTGCGCCGTTGAGTCACATAAATGCCAATATACCAATGTGACAAGGTACTCATTTAATAATGACCACCTCTCGACCAACGTGATTCTATCTAACTATCACTGCTTTTTTGAATTCTTTTTCTTTCAAATTGGCATTGGAATAGAAGACTGTGTTTTCTGTTTCATCTATAATCCACACATTATTAGAAAAAAAATAAAGTTAAAAAAATTGGAATGTTAAGTACGTTTATCATTCACTTTGTAGTGTAAAAGAAAACAATAAGCTTTCAAAAATGCTTCCTGGCTTTTCGAGTTCAAACGTCAAGAGTAATTCATACTTTCCCTCGCTACTCTGTTTAAAAATTGCAGCCTTTTCCGAAGTGTTGTTTTTGAATATGGTATGGCTTACAAATTATAAGTTCACAGACAAATAGACAATACACTATATTTTGAGATACACATAAAAAATTTGATTTTGTAATGCTATATGGCAGGACCCACGTTGCATTGGAACAACGTAGGACCCACGTCGCAACTCAAAAACATAAAATCTTTATCCTTTGGCGGCAAAATATTTTCTAGGAAAATCATAAAACAAAATGCAAATCGGTCGGTTGGTCCAACATGGTCCCGAATATGATTTTGCATATGAAAAATGCGAACCACCATCGAGAGTATAATACACAAAGACACTAGATATGGACGTTCACTAATATGTAGACTCCCGGAACAAGAATTAATGTAACCGAATCAATCACACTAATATACAGTAGCATATAGAGCGATTTTGTTATCATCTGTAAAATGAAAAAATAGATACAGAATTTTGTTATATACTACTGACATAAGCAACCAAAATTAACAGTTTTTATCGTCGAAGCTCTCTTGTTCAAAAGCGACATTAAAATATTCGAAGTTTAAGTCTCTTTCTACAAAATACCACTATTTTATATAACGCTGTTTTCTCATTTGAACACGTAACTGAACAATCAAAAATTATCATTCGCAGAAAAAAAGAAGGAAAATATATATTTTTAATATCGATATATCAAATAATAAATGGATAAGAAAAAAATGATAACGATGGATTATTAATGGAAACTGAGGCCCATATAAGTCAAAAATACTTCAGGCCCAAGTTATTAGTTTATAAAGGCACAAATACCTCACAAACATCGGGGGTACTCTCGTAATTTGAAACACTCGAAGCGAGATGAACCAATCCGTCTTTCGCTCTTACTCGGTCAACAAACCACTTGAAGACGAACACGTGTGACGTTTTTGTTGGCTCTGCGAGAAGCGCATCGAGTGCTATATAAATGCCGTTGAGCACCGTAACGGTTTTCTAATTCCCCGAGTAACCAACCAAAGCGATCAGATACAACTTTTCCCGCGAGCGAGAGAGAAAGTCTTCGAGAGAGAGAGAGAGAGAAGAAAAAAGTTACGCAGAGACTGAAAGAAAAGAGTGATCGAAGATGGCGATGGAAGTAGCTACACCGGCACCGGCACCGATCCCAGCACCGGAGAGAAACATCGTTCTCGCGCCGGCAACGACGGCCATTGCTGAGACTCACAAGAAGAACAGGATCCAAGTCTCCAACACGAAGAAGCCATTGTTCTTCTACGTCAATCTCGCCAAGGTACGTTAATCTCTTGATCGGAACAAAAAATTATCACCGGATCTTCCGTTTTCAGATCAGAATCATCAGATGAGTATGTTTTTTTTGTTTACGGAAGCGTGGAATCCGATTAATCTTATATTAGCGAATATCGATTAGAATTTCACTCTGAACATCATTCGTTGCCTGGAATTTGAGTTTATTTTGTTTTTTGTATCAGATCTGTTTTTGACCAAATGTAGTAATGACTAGTGAGCGATCTTTAACCTTTTGATCGGTGTGCTATTTGTGTCCACCAAGTGTTTGAACGTATTACAATGAGAGCAATTAGAAATTTTCTGAATCAATTTTTGTGCGATTGCAATGCGTCTGATCCTTTCGTCGTATGATGCAGAGGTACATTCAGCAACACAACGAGGTCGAACTCTCTGCACTTGGAATGGGTATAGATTTTAACGACAGCTTAATTAATCTTCTTTATTTTAGTCTTTAGACCGGTCTTTCCTCTTTGCCTATTTGTATAACCTTATACGTCGTGGACAGCAATCACAACTGTGGTAACAATCTCTGAGATCTTGAAGAACAATGGTTTGGCTACAGAGAAGAGTAAGTAGAAAGTCTCTTTTCTTTAATGATCTCTATTATCTTTCCTCTAAGAAAAACGTTCGTCCAATTCAAGATTCTGTTTTATCTTTGTTCAGAAGTGTTGACATCTACTGTGGGAATGAAAGACGAGACCAAAGGAAGGATGGTTCAGAAGGCTAAGGCAAGTTTAGAATCTCCTTTTATTATATGTGACTTGTTATGTTTACATTCTTTTGGGTATTGTTGTTGTTGCAGATTGAGATTGTGTTGGGCAAGTCAGACAAGTTCGACTCTTTGGTGCCACCTGTGACCAACGGCAAAACTCCGGAGGAGGAAGCTAATGCAGACACGGAGGCGGCTGTTGAAGCACAAGAAGAAGCTGCAGCCACCGAGGCCTAGGATTTGAGCCGGTTGTAAAACACCACAGAAGGAAGATCCATCTCTCTTTTACTATGTTTTGTTGTTTTTGTTTCATTTGTGACATATCGAACATAATACTCTAGATATTGTTTGTTTAGTAATATACCTCTCTAGTATTCTCCATTCCGCTTCCTCATTTTAGGCTTTTGAATGACAATGATACGACAGTTTCTCTCAAATTTCTCAGGGATTTGTGTACCAATTTTAAGAATATTCTTACAATCATCACATTAGATGAGAAAATGTATATCATTTTTTGTTTGTTAAATAGAAAAAAATGACATATTAATTTTCTTATGCTGAATTTGTTCGTGGCAAGCAGTCAGAGGGTATTTACGATACATCTATTATATTAAAACAAAAGCACATTTAGTACTTGCTTCCAAACACTCATAATTTTTTTTAAGTGTTAAAAATAATTTTAATAATTATTTATATTTAATTTCGGAAATTAGTTATTAATTTAAATATTTTTAGAGTTCCTTAAATATAGGTAATTTAGATTTGATTTGATTTGATTAAAAATAATAAATCAGATAGTAATTTAAATTTGATTTAAAGATTCTAATTTAAATAATTTCTATACTATTAAACATTTTTATCAAAAATATCTAGAATTTTTGAAAAAAATTAATTCACATATGAAAAATAATGGTCATATTTGAAACATAAAATATTTATAATGATGTAAATGGTATGAAATTTATGTTGCTTATATAATATATTTACGATTATGATTTATTTAAAAATTAATAATAAAATAATATGTAAAATTCAAATGTATAATTTAAATATTAAAAATATATTTTTAAAAATTCATAGAACTAAAAATATATATAAAAAACCGGGTTAAAAATATTTTGGTAACTAAAATCACTAATTTTGAATTATACATGTATATCGAAAATATATTTTTCATACAAAATAAAAACATAAAAACTTAAAAATTATTGCATACACTATAATGTGGTTTGAAAAACCAGTTGTAAACTCTCTTCGTTGCTTAAATTTTAGAAAACTATAATGCTAAATAATACTGTTAATACATCTCAAACTTTTAACAAATATTTATATTATACGGTAATATAAACGAAAAAGTTAGAATTATGTTTTTATAATAGCTCATTTTGAATTAATATTAGCGGACGGGTTAATATTATAATTTTATAATCATAATTAATTTTAATACTATAAAAATATATCTAAACATAGAAATCAATATTATATCTAAACTCAAAAACACAAATTATATTACAAAATTCGTTAAACAATAAAAAATATTCTCGTGCGGATGCACTGGGTTAGAATCTAGTTTAAGTTATAGATGATCATTTTTCATAGATAGGACAAAATGACATTATATTCAGGCGGGATGATATAGTATATTCCAAAATCATTTTCGAAACCTATACCTCTGAGAGTCCAGCAGAAACAAACAAAATGAAAAAACTATTATTGGTCTTGAAACAGACCCAAGGCCCATAATATCTGAAACTGCCGCCAAATTTGTGCGTGGTTAAATATTTGGTCAAATTAGAAGAGATTATAATTAGAAGGTGCAAAGTGTAATAAACTATAAGTTCACTCCTCGATCTCAACTTTAAGATAATTTTTCACCCGCCTCCATTCTCGCCGGAATCTCTACCAACTCTTTCTCCGCCGAACCCTTCGAAGCGACTTTCCCATTGTCTCTCAATTGCGTTGAAGGTCCAATCGATAACATGTATGTACAGCCTCATACTTTAAGCGTTCGAGCTATATTTCTCGCTTTTTGATTGGTAATTCTAGGGTTTCTCGCTGTCTTTTTTTTTTCGTTGTGCTAATATAGGGTTTTTATTAGTCTGGGTTAGTCGGGACACGAAATTTTGAGTGCTGCAGCCGAATTTCCAGGGTTTCGTTTTCACGTAGTCTTGTTTCTGTGGATAGAAGTAGTCTACTTTTCTCTTGGTTGTGCGAAAATGATCTCATACATGTTCATGTTTAGTAGTGTTTCTTTTTTTGGCATAATAAGCTTAAACTAAGTTGCCACTTTTATATGAAACAGTTTTTAGATGAGCTAAGCTTACTCAATTAACATTTAACTATTTGTATATTTATTACTGACTACTGTGGTGTATGTTCTCTAAATTTAATTCAGCGATTTAGTCATGGCTGAAGCTGAAGATCAGCAAAATATTGTTGCACACAATGGAGACGAGGTACCAGATCATGGGTTAGATGAGGTGCATAATGGGATACAGTACCAGGTCCATGATGAGACCCTTGGTCATCAACCATACGAGGTTCAAGATCCGATCCTTGAAACTCAGCAGTACGAGGTTCAAGATCCGAGTCTTGAACCTCAGCAGTTCGGTGTTCAAGATCAATTAGAATACCAAGAATACCAGGTACAGGACCAGGCTAATGACGAAATCCAAGACCAGCCTCAAGATGAACTACAATATCAGGCACAAGATCAGGAGCAGTATCAGTTGCAAGACCAGGCTCATGATCAGGGCCAGTATCAGTTGCAAGACCAGGCTCATGATCAGGGCCAGTATCAGGTGGAAGGTGAGGCACAAGATCACAATGGTGATGAACTGCAAGATCAATTAGGAGGTGAGGAAGGAATTTCTGAGCATGATGAGTCTCTACAGAAATCAGACCCTGAAGGAGGTGCAACAGTTGGTGGTGAGGAGAAAAGGTGGCCGGGATGGCCCGGAGAGACTGTGTTCCGCATGCTGGTTCCTGCACAGAAAGTGGGTAGCATCATTGGTCGCAAAGGTGATGTCATTAAGAAAATAGTCGAGGAGACAAGGGCTCGAATAAAGATTCTCGATGGTCCTCCAGGCACAACCGAAAGAGCTGTGAGTCTCTAAATCTTTTTTTTCCTTGGCTTACATTTTTTTGCTATATGAATTGCAGCTATTAGTCAACTAATGCTCTTGAACCAAAACTAAAATCCTAATGATTAAAAAACTAATATAGTAGAAGAAGATAAACCCGTTTCGTATTCACTGATCTAAAGTTCTTGTTGAAAATTGTAAAAGGCCATTAACTTTTAGGAAAAGATTAACTCTTAAGCATAATTTCCCCTTGTTCTTAATAAAGATTGTAAGTAAACGGATAGGAAACTGCACACCCTCATCTGAAAGAAGTTATGAACAAAAAGTCATGCCGGAAACGTGTTTTAGTTTGGCTGAGTAATAAGATTCTGAGCTGCTAGAAAAAGTGTTGGAAGAATGTAGTGCCTCAAGCGAAACCACTGTAGTAAGTAAATAAGCCTTTATCAAGTATAGTAACCAGCAGGCCTGCTTATCACTTCAAGTGAAAGGAGGAAGTTAATCGACGAAGTTGATAAGATGTGAGTAGGGTTACCTTTATTGCTGTGACCACCATGAATCTGTGCAGGTTTCATCTTGCAAGTTTTATGGCAACAAATCAATCATCGGTAAGGTCTCAAAAATGAAGAACCAAAGCCAGATGGCAAGGATTTCAGCCTTGAGGCACTTCAAAGTGCTGATAAGTTTATTCGAATAGGCAAGATTCCTCTTGTATATCAGTGACATGAAGCTCTGCATTCTTTCTGGTAACTTCAGTATATGGATGAATGATGTCTTGCTGCAGACTTTCTGCAGCAAGCGAGGACCTGCTTAACCGGATGTAACGATATATGGACGATGAGATTAAGGTGTAGGCAACAGACAATTAAGTAAAGAGAATTTTTAAGATTGCATGAAAAAGGTTCTATGAAGAGCTTCTCTAAGTCTAGAAGATTGGTAATGGCTGCTATGGCATCTTAAAGGCGATAACCTAATTACCATAGTTACAAACTTGAAATGAAGATCATAACAGGAAATAAATATCTAACTGGTCCAAGTGCATAAGAGTCTGTACTTCTTTGGAATATTTTTTAAGCTTTGAATGATGGCACCATAATTGATAATTGGTAGATAGACTATTGCTGTTTGTGACATGTTTGGTTATGTTGTCTACTTGTTTCTTCTTTGTCGGCAGGTTATGGTTTCTGGAAAAGAAGAGCCTGAATCATCTCTACCTCCTTCTATGGATGGCCTTCTGAGAGTACACATGCGAATAGTTGATGGTCTGGATGGTGAAGTTTCTCAGGCCCCTCCGCCTACAAAGGTTTCAACAAGACTACTAGTCCCAGCATCTCAGGCTGGAAGTTTGATTGGAAAACAGGGAGGAACAGTTAAAGCTATTCAAGAAGCATCTGGTTGTATAGTTAGAGTTCTTGGATCAGGTTCCTTCTCTTCACATTACACATGCTGAAATCGTCTTTCTTGCTTTGTTCTTTTTTTTTTTTTGAAAATCGACTACTATGCCTTCATTTTTTTAGATATAAGGCCACCGATAACACATGCCTAAGTTTTCTGACACTAAGCTGATAGGGATCATATTGAATTATGAACGGATGCAAATCCTGATTTGAGTTTTTCTAGTGATTCTCTGTTTCTCCATTTCAGATTGGCTTTCTTTTTGCATATTTCGTTTATTCTGTATTCATTGCTAGTTCTTACTGAAGTTTATGATGTGGATTGTTGTAGAGGATTTGCCTGTTTTTGCGCTTCAAGACGATAGGGTTGTTGAAGTCGTGGGGGAACCAACAAGTGTTCACAAAGCCTTGGAGCTGATTGCATCACATCTCAGAAAGTTCTTGGTTGATCGTAGCATCATCCCATTCTTTGAAAACCAGGTTATCTTCTGTTTCCCGTCAGATCTTTGGAAAATATTCTCATTTGTCTCTATCAACTTTTCTAAATTTACTCTGCTTTTGAAACAGATGCAAAAGCCAACTCGTCAGATGGATCATATGCCGCCGCCACACCAGGCTTGGGGTCCACCTCAAGGCCATGCCCCAAGTGGTGGCGGAGGTCCTGGCTACGGTCACAACCCACCTCCATATATGCAACCACCTCCTAGACATGATAATTACTATCCTCCTCCTGAGATGCGTCCGCCAATGGAGAAACAGCCTCACCAAGGTATATCTGCATATGGAAGGGAGCCTGCTATGAATGTGCATGTATCAGCAGCCCCACCAATGGTCGCTCAGGTATTCTTCCAATCTCTGCAACATATGGTGAAGTCGATTATTAGAACTATTCTATCTTCTGCAGTGTATGTATGTAAGTAAATCGCAGAAGAATCTGACTGGTGTGGGGATTTTGTTTGTTTTCCCAGCAAGTTACGCAGCAAATGCAGATTCCACTGTCTTACGCGGATGCCGTAATTGGGACATCAGGTTCAAATATAAGCTACACTCGACGTCTTAGTGGAGCAACAGTAACCATTCAGGAAACCAGGGGAGTACCTGGTGAAATGACTGTTGAGGTTAGCGGAACTGGCTCCCAAGTCCAAACCGCTATGCAGCTTATCCAGGTACCTGTATTTTCACACTCTAGATGTCTTAACCAAAGTTACCTTTAAACTCTCGTATCTTGTTACGGATCTCGCAAAAAAACAAGAAAATTCAATAGGGTAGTGGCGTAACCTTGTAGCCATACACTTCTGTAATCTGATTTGAAAGAGACAGAAAGCTGTTCCATTTTGATCTAAATGATGAATTCTGAGCTTTGATTGTGTTGATGACAGAACTTCATGGCTGAAGCTGGAGCGCCGGCACCAGCACAGCCGCAAGCTGTAGCACCAGAGCAGCAAGGCTATAACCCGTACGCAACCCACGGCTCAGTCTACGCAGCGGCTCCAACGAACCCGCCTGGAGGATACGCTACGGATTACAGCTCAGGCTATGGTTACTGATCAAAGAGTATTATTGTTAAGTTCCTTTGGCTAGAATGTTTTTACTAGTTGCAAGCAAGAATGAGAACGCTATATGATATGCATAATCGAATATATTTTTGATATTAGCGAACACTCGGGTTCTTGAATCAGTTATCATTTGATTTCCAGTCGTTTCCAGACATATGGTGTTGCCGTTCACTATTTTTCTTATTAATTTCAACCAGTAGCCATGATTGATCAAATTTTTTCAAGACATTGGTTACCCTTTATATTGATAAAGGGATAAATTATCTTGTGATTTTTTCTATAATCTTAAGAGAGATTTCTATCATCATCATTGACGCTAGTAACAGAGAGCTAATACCATATAATAAGATAGAACATGTTTATAGTAATTTCAAGCGAGCAATTATAAAAACAAGGACAAGAATAAAACCTCCAGTGTCACAAACTTTGCAGTAGGACGAAGTCAACTAATCAAACAATTTTAGAAGACTTGATAGTCTGTCTTCTCTGAGCCATACACTAGAAGCCTGCATAAAGAGCTTTATCTGCTTCTGCTTTCTTTCCAACATATTCTCTTTGCATTCGTTCACTTGCAGATTTTTGGTACGTTTTACTTGTTCCAGATTCTACATAACTTCATTTTAAAATTCATTCTTGAGGCTTTACCTAGCAGACGCATGGTGGACTGGAGATTGCTTATCGCCGCAGCTAAAGGGGAAACTAAGCTCCTTGATCTTACAATGTTTCACCATTCAGACTTCGACAAGGTAACGCCACAGAACAACAACGTTCTTCACGTTGCAGCTAAGCATCAGAGGCGTGATTTCGCTGCAGGCATACTTGATCTTTGCCCATCTCTCCTCTTTAAAGAAAACAACAATGGAGACACACCTCTACACGTGGCAGCTAGTGTAGGTTCCTTCGAAGTCTTGGAACTTCTTGTGAGTTCAACCAATCAAGAAACTTCGGATGTGGAAAACCGGGGAATAACCAAGCAGCTACTGAGGACTACTAATAAACAGAACGATACAGCGTTAAATGTTGCATTAAAGAATGGACATGCCAATGTAGCTAAGCTACTAGTTGAACAAGACACAGGATTGCTAGATATGGCCAATAATAACAACGAATCTCCTTTGTACCTAGCTATTGAGAGAGGGCTTTTCGACATTGCTGATCATATTCTTGAAAGATCTCCTTTGGTCTCCGGTAAAGGGCCTAAAGGTATGAATGCATTGCATGCCGCTGTGGAATCCGACATTGTCACTACTGGTAATTCATTTTTCCTTTTTCTAATTTGAGAATGATCTTCGAGATATCAGAAAGATTGTCTTGTTTTGGTTAGGCTTCCTGAGAAAATTGATGGTGAAAAGGCCGGAAATGATCAAAGAAGTCGATATTATCGGATGGACACCTCTTCATTATTCGGTGTGGCTAGGCAAAATCGAGATAACTCGACTCTTTCTTCAACAAGATAACTCGGCTGCTTATATATCTGATAAGGAAGGACAATCTCCGCTTCATCTTGCGGCATCTACTGGTCAAATCGAGGCCTATAGAGAGCTTGTTCGTAGCTGTCCTTATGTTTGGGAACTAGTTGATGGTAAAGGAAGAACATCTCTTCACTCTGCAGTCTTCTCTGGTAAAAAAAGGAATCATTCACTGTATTCTGGAGATGCCTGAGACTTCTCTTCATCTGTTGAACGAGAGCGATGTACATGGAAACACGCCTCTCCATCTATCGGTTGTTTACAAACGCCACGCGATTTTGCTGCTTCTTTTGAATAACAAGCGAGTTGATAAGCGTGTCATGAACCGTGATCACTTCACAGCTGCTGACCTCTTTTACTCTCAGGAGCAAGAGGTACATTTACATTACATCTCATTAGTGTGTTGAGGATAGTTGCTCATGAAGATGTTCTGAGAGCAAGTATTGTTTTGTCCCCTCTTGATTAACCGTTGTGTCGTAATTTCTGTTTTTTTTCCAGGTTAGTTTCGAGAACGCCATGGGATACTATGCATTGCAGAGATACTACAGACAGCCGTCTCAGCAACAGAAGAACATCGAGACAAAGAAGAAGCAAGAAAAGGCAGATCTTGAAGAAAGCAATGCAAGAAACAATGGTGCAATGTACGAGGTCCATCTTCTAGTGGCGGTTCTTGTGGCAACCGTAGCGTTTGCCGCGGCATTTCAACTACCCGGGGGTTACAAACCCGACGGTACACCTGCATTGATGGATAAAGCAGCTTTCAAATGTTTCTTGGTGTTTGACACAATTGCCTTCTGCTTCTCTGTAACCACAGTCTATTTCTTGTTCTACGCTTCACGAGATGGGTTTCGCGCACGGTCTGTTTTCCTCTACGTATCTGCTCTGTTAATGGTTGTGTCGCTGATCGCAATGGCCTCTGCGTTTGTATCAGGGATGTATCTGATTTCGTCCAAGTCGAGGAAATTAGCCATCGTACCTTTCTTGATGGTTGGATTCTTCGTCTTGCACGGTTTCATCTACTGGTTCTTTGATCCACGTGGCAGCTACTTCCTTGGCCTCGAACGGCCTCGCGAGTTTTTCAGGAAATTAGTCTATCGAAACCCATTTTTTCATGTTATAGTTTGTAACTGAGCTTTGAGCAAGGGGGTTTGTTATTTGAATCATCGCATTACAGAGGAAAAAGAGTAAGAATTACATAACACTTTGTACCTTGTGATAAATAAAACCTAAATCCACATGAAAATGAAAAAAAAAACATTCAACAAACAGGTAAATGCTGTTCTTCTTCAGGTGTTTGTTTCCATCTATTGCCTGAAATCTTGAAACTGATCACGAAAGATTGATCTCTTATAGTACACTTGACAGAGTTTACACCCTTTTTTCCACAGTATGGTTCCTGTAACGCAATAAATCATATCTGTGAATTCATTTAAGACACAAGCAAGCATTATATCCTAACACAGCTAAGAAACTTACATGTAAAAGATGGAGGAGGGTGTTGAAATCAAATGGGTGCAGCACAAGTGGTTCTGAAATGTCCGGTTTGGTTACACCGGCTACAATGCACAACCCGCTTCACTCTTCCTCTATCTTCAGCTCGAACCCGTCTCTTCCTCGGCCTACCAGGCGGTCTCAGCGACTTTGGCGGGTTTATAATAACGTCAAGAGCGGCTTTATCAACGTTTGGATCCCCGTCAGAGAGCTCTCTCCAAAGACTTTTATCTGGAATCGGATGAATCGTCTGAGAATAAGTCTTCCTATATGTAGCCACAGTGAAACAGCTCTCAGTGAACCTATGAACATTCTGTCTACAAGAAAGAAGAGCCGCCACAGCGTGTGCGCAAGGCAAACCGTATAACTGCCAACCCCGACAAAGACAACACCTGTTCCTAATATCCACAATGTTGTTTCCTTCATGAGATATAACTTCAAACTCGGCTTCATTAGCTCGAAGCACCTGATAGGTTCTTGCAAGCTCAAGAGCCTCTGCCACACGCCGCTCGGCGGTTGGCACGAGTATCGAAGTCCATTGCATACTGGTCTCACGCCTTTCATTGAACCAAGTCATTAACTGTCTCCTAATGCATTCCATCATCTGAATGATCGGAAGTCCAGATGCTTCAGCGATCCACGAGTTCAAGGATTCGACAATGTTCGCTGTTAAATGTCCAAACCGTTGCCCTTCGAAATAAGCAGTGGCCCATAACCGAGGAGGGATTCTCCGTATCCAGTAAGCTGCGTCTTGAGAGATCTCTTCGATTTCGAGTATTTTGGCTTCAAACTCAATCACCGTTAGAGCTTGCGCAGCTTCCCACAGATAGTTGACTAACATTGTGTTGCTAAACTCCTTGCGGAAGCTCTCGCTCAAATGTCGCATACAAAACCCGTGAAACGCAGTTGGGAAATTCTGTTCCACGCCTTCCACTATTCCCTTTTGTCTATCAGATAAGATTGTTAGCCTCGGCATGTTCTCAGTGTTTGTTTCGAGAAGATTGTGAAGCTCACACAAAAACCACATCCAGTTCTCGTCGTTCTCTTCGTCGACAATCCCAAACGCCAACGGAAACAGAGCGCCGTCTCCATCAAACCCAGTTGCGAGAAGCAAAGTGCCTAAATACTTGCTCTTTAGATATGTTCTGTCCAATCCAAGAAGCGGTCGACAAGCATTCAAGAATCCGTAAATCGAAGCTTGAAACGATATGAAGAGACGCTGGAAGCAATTATCTGCTGGACTTCCGTAAACGGAAGCGATGCTTCCCGGATTCGTTCTCTTGACCTGCTCGCAATACTGAGGAAGTAAACGATACCCTTCTTCGAAAGACCCGCGCATAGTCGCCATGATTCTTTCTTTGCCACGCCAAGCTTGTTTGTACGATAAGGTGATTCCGTGGACACGATGTATCTCTTCAAGAATCTCTTTCGGTTTACAGTTTGGATTCTCACGGAGACGTTGCTCGACGGAGCTAGCAACCCATTGAACCGAAGCTTGTTGGTGACCCAAATGGTTTATTCCTCCACAGCTATGGCTTTCATGGATCGTCCTGATTGTGAAAGTTGGAACACCGGGAAGCTTTGCTGCATGGACTCTCCATGGACATCCTTCACTCGAACACTTTGCTGTGAAACGTGTTTTGTCGGATTTTATTGTCTGCATTTCGAAATGAAGAGCAATCGCCATATCTCTCAATGCTCTACGACAGCTCTTGACATCTGGAAACTCTTGTCCGACCGTAAGCTGGTAAGTCAACTCAGCAGAGAGAGCTCGGGCTTGAACCGGAGTGCTAACCATAACCATTTCACCATGATGATCAATCCCAAGTTCATGACTTGAGTCAACGGCTAGTTCCAGATTCTCGTCTAGTTCATGGTTTTCCCCAACCACCAACTGGTTATTATCAGACAACGAAAAATCGTGGTTTTGCGAGGAAAGAACCAAATCGGGATCAACATCGTCGTGTCCAGGCTTTTGATCCACAGAGATTTCGTTCTCGTTCATATAATCGTGATGATGATGATGATGATGATCCTCTTCATCCTGATTCTCGCTGTTTCCTAAGCCGAGCTCATGATCATCATGTGGATGTCCTAAACCAATTTCATGATCATGGTGGCCCTGTCCTAAGTCCATATCGTGGCCTTGCCCTAACTCTAAATCATGGCTTTGACCAAGCCCTAGACTGTGGCTATGACCAAGCACCAACGACTGACCCTGACCAATACCGATGTTACGATTTTGTCCTAGGATTAAATCGCGATTCGCCATTGCTGAAGCAATCTTTTTAATATCACACTGCTCCAAGAACAACCCACTCGTATAAAAAAAAATACAGTAATTCTCCGGCTTTATCAGTACCTGTAATAACAGAACAAAGATCGAATTATCCAAAATACGAACACAAATGTATTCCAACTGGAAAAGACAACATATTGAAACAAATCCCAAGATCCCGATTTTTAATCCAGAAATAACGAAAGATATTGATAACTGAAAGCGACTAGTGATTATTCAGATTCCGCTTGACAAACCCCAAGATTAAGACCGAAGCATCGGAGACATATCAATATGAAGTAAAATTTAATAAAGCAAAGAACTTGGCGAGATACGTCAAACAGTGAAGACTTACAGAAACAGAACTCGCAGTGTCATCGTAGCTTTATCTTCTGCATCCTATAACTTACTCTTGAAAAAAAAACGGATATTTCGGTCGATCGAGCTATAAAAGCAGAGTAAAACTAACGTGAGTGAACAAGCTCTGATAGAGACGAGCAAAGAACATAATAGCTGCGTCCAATCTCAGATGAACATTATTAGATTAAAACAAAAAAAAAAGCCCAATTCGAAATTCAACAAATTTATAAGTGTCATATTCCGAATTCTTATCAGCTCATGAGTGGACTCAAAACTAAGATAACCAACACAAAGATCTGATCTGGGCTGAGCAGAAAGTAAAATGAAAATGAAGAACACATCAGGAAAATGATAAATACGAAAAAGGAGAAGAAATACCCAAAAAAAACAAAAAAAAATTGAAACTTTAAACTCCAGAACCAGAAAACTCACGAGAATCAAATCCTGGATATAAACAAAACCGCGAGAAACATAAGATCCAGACACCGATCCGGGAAGAACTAGAAAACTAGAGCTTCGATGAGGAACCAGAAAACGGGGGAAGGAGCCGTTGGAGAAAGGGAAGTTGAAAATGGCGGGTAAAAGGGAGAAATCGAGGGAGAGAAATGGAACAAGGGCAAAAAGGAAATGGGGAGAAGAGGAAGAGGAAACTATTAAGGGTGGGATTGGGAATTACAGAAGGGGCAGAAGAGGGAGAGAGATTAGGTTGCCAAGAGTGTCTTGTGATGATGCGAATTATTACACGTTGCCTTCTCTCCGACAAAAGGATATTTATGTCTTTTTATTTTATTTTATCATTCTTTGTCGCATAGTCTACCCTTTGGGTTCCTCACTATTTACGGAATTGCCATCATTATTTATTTAGAGTCCAACTTGATTTGAGCCTAGTTACAAGGCCCAACTCCAACTTATAACATTTGGATTTTAAAACTAGACTGAATTTCTTCTTTTGTTTTTGGGTGACAAAAAACTAAATAATGTTTGAGTTGATAACTTGATCGAGTCCAGTTTATGTTTATCCAGTTTTTTTTGGTGTAAATTTTTACTTAACTCGATAGACCAAAATGTAATAAAGAGTGATAGCGAAAGAGACTTGTTTTCGACTTCTTTACTTATTCAACACTACTGCGTTTTGTATGGGCCGTCTCCATTGTAAAATTAATTGACATCATATCTTAGATTGAAAGAAGCTCCAATGCACTGACAAATCATCAGTCAAATTTTGCTTCAATTGTTTAAACAAACGGAAAAAGGATTCTCGTTGTAAATACTTCAACAATTCACGAATCAATCCATCCATTCAAATATCTATCTAAATAAATAGGAAAAAAATAATTAAAAAGTCGGTGATGTGAAGTTGCAGCAAAGCAGCCAAAAAGGGGTTTTCATCTGATTACTCGAACATGCTTGGGAGAGGTCTCACGGCCATGAACGCATCCACCATCTGATTATCAATATTATTTTATTTTGTATCAAAGTCGATTTAAGAAAAAATGATATTAAACCTTTGATGGTTCAATGGATTTATCAATCTTAGTAGAATCAATTTTTTACCTCATCAGTAACAGCACCTCGAGCCCTGCGGTGCCTCTCCACCATTTCTGTCAAAACTTCAGTGAGTCGCTTCTTTACTTCTCCGGTCAGCATTCTTCCTTCTCCATATTCCTAAAGTACAATGTGTTTTACTTAATATTTCTGATAAACCGACTAAGACAGATTTGAGCATTCTTCATTCTCGCAAGTGTAACGTGATTTACCTTCTTTACGTGTTCAAGTTCAGTATCATCTTCTAAGAAGAAACTCAAATACTTGACCGGTATGTCTACCTGTGGAAAAATTAGAATAAACCAAATAGATTTGAGTATAGACTACCTAGAATAGATAACGGGAGAGAACAAAACAAGAAAATTTGGTACCTCAAGATTTGCTCCGAGTTCTCTGTGCTTCTCGATGGAGTCTTGCCCACCACTAAACGCATATCTGTTTATCTGCATATATAAACCTCATCAAGTTAAGGTACAGTAAGCAATTATCTTAGGATTAGAATCTATCCTTTTTAACGTTTACAGCGACGTATTCTAGCATTAAGATCGAGTTCTCGCTTGTGACAGAATGATTTAGAGGACTGTGGCGCTGATCAAACCAGACAATGAATATGTGTGCAACAAGGTTATTACGAATTCCAGAATTGGCATAGGGAAAAGCAAACAAATTACAGAATTTACCTTGTTTTTAATGTCCTTTGCAGTATCTGTCACATAGATAGCGGAATTTGGATCACTAGCAGACATTTTTCCATTCTCTCCCTGCGAAAAGTGACAAGGCATTCAATAGTTTGAAAGCAGGAAGGCCCGGTGTACAAGGTATAAGCATATCTCTATCACTTGCAATATTTCTACACAACTTAAAGAGAGTACTTGCCTGCAGAGCAGGGAAAAATGATGACTCAATCAGAGCAGGCTTGCTATAGCCTAACCGAGGTGCAACATCGCGAGTCATTCTAAAATAAGGATCCTGAGTAAAACAAAAACCAAAGAGTGATTATAAACACAAAAGCAGCATAACACAATAATACAAGAAGGAGAACAAAAAAAAACATAGTGTGGATGAAAATGTCTCAGGCTCGCAATTATTGGGAACTTGCTTTATCTTCGGAAACAAATGAGTTAAGATCCAAAGTCAAGAATAAGAAAAAAACAGCACACCTGGTCAATTGCACAAGGAATCAAGCAACGGAGATTGTCTTTGCCAGGGAACAAATGCGGGAATGAGCTAGGAAAAGATGGAACTGCCTGCAAATGCATGTGAAAAAATTATCCAATTTAAAACAACATTCTATGTGCATTAGACTACACATGCCCACGCCAACACGAACAAAAAGACATACCTGCACAGGAGGGAAACTGAGTTTTCCAATATGATCTTCGCCGGAAAAGCCAAAGATTCCCATAGCCTAGCAAAGGAGTTAATTGGAATCAAAACCAGGAACACAAAGCAACTAATAAATTATGCGAGCCACATTGTGTAATTCAAGGAGATAATAAAGTAAACTCACCTTATTAAGTGTAACGCACTTTGAAACCTTCACCATGTTTTTATAGAAAGCACTACACACAAAGGTTTTTTTTTTCCGACATCATAAGCCAGAAAAACTATAATGTACACATCAAAAGAAAAACTTAGATGGGATATATAAGTGTGACTTACCCGCCAACATAGTCAAAGTCGGAGAAAATGAAGGTCTTTGTTACATCGAATCCGCAAGCAATTATATCTTTCGCATTTTCTCTGGCAAGTCTTTGACTTTCCTCCACCGATAAGTTCTTCCACATGCATTTTTCATCATCCGTGAGCTGAATAACGAGGGGAACCTTGAAAGCTTCTTGCAAGTATCTGGAAGCCATTCCCGAGCAATCGAAATCTTCAAAAAAACGTCGCATTGATAAAGTAAGAGCTCGAGGAAAGATGTCACTTACTTGGTGAACATGAAAGGAATCAAATGCCCCAAATGCAAAGCTTCTGATGAAGGTCCTCTTCCAGTGTAGAGATAGAACTTGTCTCCTTTCTCATACGCATCCAAAATCTCATTGAAATCCCTATTAGTATCACAGTTGTTAATCCAGAAATTAACAGGAAATTAACATGCTTATCGACGCAAATTCATAAAAAAAATAGCTGAATCGACAAACACAATTTAGCTGAGTTTCGAACCGGTGGGCGAAGAAGACACCACGGCGGAGGAAGACGTGCGGTTGACGAGAAGTCAGTCTCTGAACACGATCAATCAGCGACTGGTCGAGTCTCTGGCAGCCAAACTTGTCTATAAGCTTGTCGTAATCGATTTTCCCGCCGTCTTTGGCGGAGACTTCCCATGGATTCACCACTTGCTCATCGGACTCTATCTCCTTCTTATCAACCTCCATTGCGACGGGAAGAAAATAAGAACTTAAAAAAAAAAAGGGAAATTAGATTCGATGGATTCAAAAGCAAAAGAAAATATTTTGAATATAAGACGGCTGCTGAGATGCAGTGAGAGAAATATTTGCCACTGAGATAGGGCGAAGAAGAAAACGAGGTTTGAATCATAATATATTTTTTATTATTTGGGAGTTAGAATCTTTCATTTTAGTTAATTGCGCCGTCAAGTTTTTGATATGTTCAATGCCCCCCCTCCTCTCCACACCAAACTTAGTTTAAGCCAATGTTCTTCAATTTGGGCCGATTCGACCGTGTACAATCAGATTAGTACTTGGGTTGGGTTTCAAAAGCTATCAAGCCGGAGTAAAAACTACCAAAAACTGTCAAAAATCCATGAACCGTGTGATCTAAACAAACCAGTTGATTCCGGTTTAAATTTTTTTTTTTATTTTATTTTAAATTACATTTTCCTACAATTTTTGAGGTAACTTGTAAATTTTCAACTAATATAGCTTTGATAGAGTTAATCTTCGTTATGTCGCATCAGCCTGGCCTTTTCTCCAGCTTTTTAAACGAAAATAAATTCAAATGCTGACATATCAACTTGTGTCATTTATCCAATACAAAGTGAGAGCCATGGTAGAGCAAGTTCAGACGAATGAAGAACAGTGTCAAAATGTAGATATCAACAAGTTCGGAGGAAGTAAGCTACGGTCCGGTTAATTTCTTCTTCTATTTTCTGCACTTCTTATAATATGGAATGAAGCCGTAGCCAATAAAAGCCTTATTCAGCAGAATTATATGTTTTCGTTGAGATTCTTGCTCACCACTTAAATTCTATTTTTGTAAATTTTTTTAAAGTGCTTACTTATTACTTATTACTATAGTTATACTTTTGACCGCGATGCATAAAAATACCAGTTCAAATATACCAAACTACGTGGTTTATGAATTCTGTTATAGAAGCCAAACACGTAAAAGATCACACTACCAATCTTGTCAATATTTTCTTAATGCTTTTTCCGGTTACTATCACATTGACGAGTTTGTATTGTTATTCAATCAAATTTGTTGGGTTTGTTTCAATTTTCAAGGTCTTTGACCTCTTTGGTTTTATCAAATTTGATCTGAGTGAAGAAATAGGTTTCTTTTGCCAAAACCTTCAAAGAGTAGAAGTAAAACTTTAGGAGAAAAACTGCTTTAACATTTTGTGATCACTCACAAAAAAAAACAAACTGATTATAAAGAAAAACAAAATGTCAGAGTGTATAATAAAAAAACGATGAAACACTCTATTTCCCATGTCAAAATATACAGTATACTGTATACATTTTCTATTTGTCGGAAACTAATTTTTTTTTTTGAACATCATGTCGGAAAGTATACATTTAAGAATTATTATTCTGACGTGTCACTAAATGACTACAAAACTCTGAAACTGAGAAGGTGATCTTTCGTTTCCCTCTGAAAAAATTAAATTTTCTGTTTCCTCGAAAAGCAAAAAAAAAAGATAGAGAAAAGGGCAAACGAAGAGTTGCTTTTACACTAAAAAAAAATAAAAATCCACAGAAAGTCAAATAGTTATCGTCAAATCTAGATCCAACGGCCAGGATTCCATCTCGTCTTCTTCTTTTTAATGATATCTCCTGTTTAAAGAAGCAAGAGGGAAAACGAAAAAGCTAATACAATAACAAAACCCCTAAAGAAACAAAAAAAAATGAAAAAGAAAATGAAAAAAAATCCCTAATTCTCTCTCTCTAGAGTTTTTTTTTCTCTCTCTCTAAAAAGAAATGGAACCTAACGAAAGCCACCACCACCAACAACAGCAACAACAGCAGCAGCAGCAACCTCTCAGTTCTCCTTACTTCCAGAACCACCACCACCACCTTCAACACCACCACCCAACCACCATATCAACCACCGCCTCAACCGGAAACGCCGTTTCATCTTCCAACAATGGCCTTTTTCCGCCGCAGCAGCCGCAGCAGCCGCAGCCTAACGATGGGTCGTCCTCCGTCTCGGTGTTCCCTCACTCAGTACCTTCCTCGGCGGTGACGGCGCCGATGGAGCCGTTAAAGAGGAAGAGAGGTCGTCCGAGAAAGTATGTGACGCCAGAGCAAGCCCTAGCGGCTAAGAAAATGGCGTCTTCTGCGAGCAGCTCCTCTGCTAAGGAGAGGAGAGAGCAGGCGGCTGCAGCCGGAGGTACGGCATCGTCTATTTCCGGCTCATCGAAGAAATCTCAGCTTGGTTCTGTCGGTGAGCTACTCTTTCCGATGAAAGCCTTTTTTTCCTGTTTCTCCTAATTTGATGTCAAAGTTTCCGACTTTCTGGTGAATTTTTGATCCCATGTTCTTTATTCTGATAATTTAGCTGCTGAAATCGTAGGTATCATTTGGGACGTATATTGTGTGCAATTGCATTATGTAACTCTGTAAATTTCATCTCAAATTTCCATACTTGATTTTATAGCACAACGCATCTCTTACTGATAGATACTTGTTTTAATACTTAATCAGCCTTCTGGTGTTTGTCTATCTAATTGATGGCCATTTGTTTTTTTTTTCCGATGAAATTGATTCAATTTGAGTATTTTATCAAGTGAGATTCTCTGGAATTGGTGTTAGACTCTGAGCTTAACAAAAAGGTTCTTTTTTTTTTGGGTGCAGGGAAAACTGGGCAAAGCTTTACTCCGCATATCGTTAATATAGCTCCTGGTGAGGTATGTCGTGTTCTTTTTTACACTCAAGATCCTTATCTCTTAAAGATTCTTTGGTTAAGACACAATCTAGCATTTCTTTTAATGTCGAACTGATTCCAGTAAAGGATTATCTATGAAATATACTTTTTTTTTTTTGTCATTGATGCGAATGCAAATTGGAAAGGAATCTTAACGCTTTTCTGGGTGATTCTGACAGGATGTGGCTCAGAAAATTGTGATGCTTGCACGCCAAAGCAAGCATGAACTATGCGTTCTTTCTGCATCAGGCACCATATCAAATGCATCCTTGCGTCAGCCAGCTACATCAGGAGGCAACATATCATATGAGGTGATTTAATTTTCTCTTTGCCGTAAATTTGTACTCGATCTCGCCTCGTTGTTGTGTCTTTCTTTCTTCCTGATCTTCTCTGTGCTGTGAAAGCTAAAAGATTATTAATTGAGACGCTTTCTTTGAAGTTGGCATATAGTTGTTAGACTTGCTTCAGAATTTCGATATTATTTCAGGGTCAGTACGAGATTATCTCACTATCCGGATCATTTATCCGGGCCGAACAAGGTGGTAAAACCGGCGGCCTTAGCGTTTCTTTATCTAGTTCGGATGGTCAGATCATCGGAGGAGCAATCGGGACCCACTTGACAGCTGCTGGCCCGGTTCAGGTAAAATCTTGTTGTGTCATAGTTGCAACTTGCATATGTAGTAGATGCATGTGTCCCTTTTTGTATTAATGTTTCCAACAATCTTACACAGCTGCTCGGGTTATACTGATAAGTTCTGGCTTCAATTGATCACCCTCATATTTGTGCAAAAACAGGTGATTCTTGGTACGTTTCAGCTTGATAGAAAGAAGGATGCCTCCGGAAGTGGTGGGAAAGGGGATGCTTCTAATAGCGGAAGCCGGTTAACTTCTCCATCAAGCACTGGACCGTTGCTTGGCATGGGTTTCCGATCTGTTATTGAATCTTCGGGAAGAAATCCAATGAGGGGAAACAATGAGCAGCATCATCAACAAACCGGTATGGGTGGACCTCAACATTTCATGATGCAAGCGCCGCAGGGAATGCACATGACACATTCTCGGCCATCTGAATGGGGAGGAGGCAACAGTGGTCATGATGGTAGAGGTGGTGGTGGGTATGATTTGTCAGGTAAATAAAGCTCAAAACTTTCTTAAAAAGGTGTCGTCTTTTCCATCAAAGTTCAATAAAAACAAAATTCAAACAACAACAGATCAGAATTGCACCGGAAGGTGGTTAAACCAAATACTAAGTACTGGTAGAGATTGAGTACTGAGGGGGAAAAGCAAGCTAAAGCCTAAAGCTTTCTCCTCTGGGATAATATGGCTTGAAACCCTCATGGATGTAATCTTGTGCAGGACGGATGGGACATGGGTCGTCGGAGAATGGAGACTACGAGCAGCAAATGCCGGATTAGCATCGATACCAAGCTTCCAAAGACGTGTTTAGAGTTAGATCCACATTAGAAACCGATGCCCCGAGCAAGAATCTAAACTGAGAGAGGACTTGAAAGACGGAATCTTGTCTCTAAGGGTTTTCATCAGAGACGGAAGTTGAGTAATGCTTTTGTTCTTCTTGGTTACGGTGTATTATATATAAACTCCACAGCCTTTTTCTTTCAGTAACAGCTGATTCTGCTTCTCTTTCATTACATTCCTTTTCTTCTTTTTTTTAACTCTTTTCTTTTCCTATATTTATATCATTTTTTTGTTTTGTTTTTGTTACTTAAAAAGGAAATGCTCTTTTATGAATATATACACTTTGTTTGTTTGGTTTCTATTTTTATCAATTATTCATATAACTCATCTTATCTAGTAGACAGCTCGAACTAGCGTTATTTGGACAAAACAATAACTAACTAATTTGGAGTGGTTTTGTAAATTTGTTTCCTCGATATTTTGTAATTTTGTTGGCTCACAAGTCACAAGTGTGGTTACTTTTGAGTCAACTTGTAAGTTTTTTAATTATTTTTGGCAAATTTATTTGTTGATATATTTATGTTTCAGTGAAGCACCATTTTTATTAAGCAACTTCTCCGGAAATTGCTTAAGCTCAAAGTCTGCCGCTTTTGTCTTTAAAAACTTTGAATAGTTGCTGACAAGTCTGAATATCCGCAACGCGCAACTGAAACTCCCGGAAAAGATCTGCCACGCCTCACGACAATACTCGGTTTCTTCTCTTCCTCATCGGTTCTGTTTCTCGTCTTCTGTAAAAAATACGTCGGATTGACCCGATAGATTTCGTCGATGCAAATCGTGTTTCATTGAGACGGGTCTTTCTTATTTCCCCTTCTAGATTCGAAAGGTGTGTCCTTTTTTAGTTTATTCCATTGGCTTGAATCTCGGCTTCATTTTCTGATTACCCCTCCTCTGGATTTTCCCGGAAAAAACAAAATATTCAGTCGGTTTCTTTTCTCACTACGAATATCGAGGAACATAGATCTTGATTCCTTTTCTTCTTCTTCTGGGTATGCGGGTTTGGAGTTGTTTAATCTCATTGGTGTCTACGCGTTGTGGAAATCTATGAGTACGAAGTCGGTTACTTATTGGTTCATTGGATCTCGACTGGTTAAGCCTGAGGCTGAGTGTGGATTCGATTAGGGTTTAAGATTTGTGTAAAGATGTTAAGATCTTTAGGTCTTGGATTGCTTCTGTTTGCTCTTCTGGCTCTGGTTTCTGGAGATAACGATTACGTGAGCTGTAACTGTGACGACGAAGGGTTCTTAAGTGTCCACACGATCCTAGAATGTCAAAGAGTGAGTGATCTCTTAATCGCCATTGCCTATTTCTCAATACCTCTCGAGCTTCTCTATTTCATTAGCTTCTCCAACGTTCCTTTCAAATGGGTTCTTGTTCAATTCATCGCCTTTATCGTCCTCTGTGGTATGACTCATTTGCTAAACGCTTGGACATACTACGGACCACATTCGTTTCAGTTGATGCTATGGCTCACCATCTTCAAATTCCTCACGGCTCTTGTCTCGTGCGCCACGGCGATCACGCTCTTGACTTTGATTCCTCTGCTGTTGAAATGGAAAGTTAGAGAGCTTTATTTGAAGCAGAATGTGTTGGAGCTTAACGAAGAGGTTGGATTGATGAAGAGGCAGAAGGAAATGAGTGTTCAGGTGAGAATGCTTACTCGGGAAATCAGGAAATCGCTCGATAAGCACATGATTCTCCGGACTACTCTCGTCGAACTATCCAAGATTCTTGATTTACAGAACTCTGCAGTTTGGATGCCTAACGAAAACAGAACCGAGATGCATCTGACTCATGAGCTAAGAGCGAATTCGATGAGGAGTTTCAGGGTGATCCCGATTAACGATCCTGATGTTGTTCAGGTTAGGGAAGCAAAAGTAGTTGCGATTTTGAAGAAAAACTCTGTTCTTGCGATCGAGAGCAGCGGTTGTCGCGGTTCAGAAGAGTTTGGTCCGGTTGCTGCGATTCGTATGCCAATGCTTCACGGATCAAATTTCAAAGGAGGCACTCCTGAGTTTGTTGATACTTCCTATGCTATCATGGTTTTGGTACTTCCTAATGCGAATTCACGGGTTTGGACCGATAAAGAGATCGAGATAGCTGAAGTTGTTGCTGATCAGGTAGCGGTTGCTCTCTCTCACGCATCGGTTCTCGAAGAGTCGCAGTTGATGAGAGAGAAACTAGGTATTCAAAACCGAGCTTTGCTTCGAGCTAAGCAGAACGCGATGATGGCGAGTCAAGCGAGGAACACTTGCCAGAAAGTGATGAGTCATGGAATGAGGAGACCGATGCACACAATTCTCGGTCTTCTTTCCATGTTTCAATCGGAAAGTATGAGTCTTGACCAGAAAATCATAGTTGATGCACTCATGAAGACAAGCACGGTCCTTTCGGCTTTGATCAACGACGTGATTGACATTTCGCCTAAAGATAACGGGAAATCTCCATTAGAGGTAAAAAGGTTTCAGCTTCATTCGTTGATAAGAGAAGCCGCTTGCGTCGCAAAATGCTTGAGCGTTTATAAAGGCTACGGTTTTGAGATGGATGTTCAAACGCGTTTGCCTAACTTAGTAGTGGGAGATGAAAAGAGAACGTTTCAGCTTGTGATGTATATGCTTGGGTATATCTTGGATATGACTGATGGAGGCAAAATCGTCACGTTCCGGGTTATCTCTGAAGGTACTGGAAGTAGTCAGGACAAGAACAAAAGAGAGACTGGAATGTGGAAATCGCATTTGTCGGAGGATTCTCTCGGTGTTAAGTTTGAAGTTGAGATTAATGAGATTCAGAATCCTCCATTGGATGCCTCGGCTATGGCAATGAGACATATTCCGAACAGGAGGTATCACAGCAATGGAATCAAGGAAGGCTTGAGCTTAGGCATGTGTAGAAAACTTGCACAGGTCTCATCAAAATCTCTGTTTCTTTCTTTTTGTTAGATATGGCTCGTTCGGATATGAACAAAAATGAAACCGGATCGGTTTATTTATGTGTGTGTGTGATTGTGAATATTTGTATGCAGATGATGCAAGGAAACATATGGATATCACCGAAATCGCATGGACAAACACAGAGTATGCAACTAGTTCTGAGGTTTCAGACAAGGCCTTCAATTAGAAGATCAATATTAGCAGGAAATGCTCCAGAGCTTCAGCATCCGAATTCAAACTCGATCCTCCGTGGTCTAAGAATCACTCTAGCAGACGATGATGACGTGAACAGAACCGTAACCAAGAGGCTTCTGGAGAAACTCGGGTGCGAAGTGACAGCTGTATCGTCTGGATTCGAGTGTTTGAGTGCGTTGTCGAATGTTAAAATGTCGTATAGGGTTGTGATTCTGGATCTGCAGATGCCAGAGATGGATGGTTTTGAAGTAGCGATGAAGATAAGGAAGTTTTGTGGACATCATTGGCCATTGATTATAGCTTTAACTGCGAGTACTGAAGATCATGTTAGGGAGAGGTGTTTGCAAATGGGGATGAATGGTATGATTCAGAAACCTGTTCTTTTGCATGTTATGGCTTCTGAGCTTAGACGGGCTTTACAGAGCGCAAGCGAGTGAAGTGAAGCGAGCTCATAGAAGAAGCAAGAATTGAGAACCTTGAAAAAGAATCAAGAATCTGAGGAAATCAAGAAATGATGGAAGCCAGAGTGAGAGGATTCTTTGAAAATGTGAAGCAAAGGAAACAACTATTGGGGACGTGTTTTTTGTTGTTGTTATTGTCTCTGTTCTACGATGATGAAAAGGTTGGTTTTGGACCTTTTGGTCCCAAACTTTTTATACGTAATGCTTCGCATTTTAAGCGAACAATAATATAAATTTATTATATTAAATACTCCACACTTAATTTTATAGATTAGTCTTGAGTAATTCTCTTTAAAACATAATTTTTCACATCGTTACGAAATTGATCATGTTATGTCAAAATTCATCGTTTTTAATTGTATCACCTCTACTGTTATAATTTACTGTTTTCAGGACTGAATGGTTCAACTTTCAAGTTTTTGTCAAGATCTGGAATATGGTTTTGTCAACGAAGAAGAAAGAACTACGTACTAAATTAAATCTATATTTTTGTCAACGTAATTAAATATTTCTTATTGTTTTTTAATAAATATTTTGAGTCATTAACATTTTTTAACTATTATTATTTTTCTGTAAGCAAATTATTATTTTACACTTAACACTCACTTCAGCGAGTTTAGACCACCACACCAAGCGTTTGATTGTTAAATACTGCATATTTTAATTATTTTTCTTATACGACTACCAAAGTTAGTGTTATTTAATGCTTTGTGTAGGCTTAAGAAGAAACATCACGTAACGCTATATATTAGTATATTCGACAAATATGATGTTCGATTATTAAATATACTATTATATGGACGAAAAATATATATATATATAGATATATACTATTATATGGATTGGCTAATACTATAAACAACGACAAAAGAATCCCAATTCTATCTATTTTTTTTTTTTTTTCAATCTCGTTTCTTTCAAACAATTAACAAATTATATTTCGAAAGAATAAAGTAATATGAAAGTGTATATTTCGAAAGAATCCCAATTCTATCTATTTTTTATCTTTATTTCAATCTCCTTTCTTTCAAGCAATTAACAAATTATATTTCGAAAGAATAAAGTAATGTGAAAGTATTAAGAATGCATGTTCTAGCCAAATTATAGACGATAAAAGTTGATATCATTAATTTAGAATATGATATAATAGACAATAAAATATGATTAAGTTCCTCTCTCCATTGTTATTCTGAAAATTTACCATATATATATATATATACACATAAAAAACAGTAGGCAGTAATTGATAATGATTATCAATATATTTCTAATCTTTGTTTTTGTCTACGATCAACATATTTATAAATTACAGTAAAAAGGAAGAAAAGAAACTGCTCACGATGTATAACATTAGATGCATCACGACCTACGCATTATCACTGAGTGTTATTTTAAGTGAGGACCATCATCTATGTGTCTATGAAAGATAATTATTTAATTAAAATTAGAGGGAATTAGAAGGAAAAAGAAAACAGGAAATAGAGATGAAGCAGGACCTCGGCGTACTAATATTTCTTTAATCTTTTGATATAATAGTTTTTCTTGGGACCCCGTGTAAGGCTTTATCTTGTGGTCTTTGTTATACTTTTAATAATGATAGTTTATGGATTCCTTTTCAAAGTATTATTTGTTAATTGCTCAAGTTTTAGGCTTTTCTAATTAACTATTATTGTCTTTTGAGTGCGGTTTAACTAGGGCTTCCCTTTTTGAAAAAAATATCACAAGAAACGATGATTATTTTTTTGTACACAATACCTTTTCAATTTTTACTTGGGTAAATAATCACAAGAAACATTTGGGTAAATAATTTTATTGATAGCAATCATCCGTGTAAATTACTCATGAAATGCAGTAATTCATGTATTTAGAGAAAACTGCTAACTTTGTTAGACTTAAACTTGAATACGGCTTTATGTCTGAACTTTCATTAATTTTTGTATGTAAATTTGTCAAACCATAATATTAAACATTATAGTTTGGTTTTGACATATAAATATAAGAAGCTACATATCCATATATGTTAATTGTAATAAAGAAAAGCACAAGATAAGTCATTTATCATATGTTATTTATGTTCTTGACTACTTGGATCTTGATAAATCGTTAGTCTATACACACATAAATAAAGGGAACTATGAATAATTCAACATTCAAAAGCACTCTAATCATTTTTTTGTACTATGCATTTCTGGTTGAGAAAGTACGGATATATATATATATATATATGATAATATGAATATATAATTAACATGTCATTAGGGTTTGCGTTTTGCAAGAGGAACGCATGTGGTACCATGTGAATAGGCTCCTTTATCTCATACTTTTGTTTATCGTTTTTTAATTAAAAGATGGTCAAGAAAGCCTAATAAAAATATGGGTAAATGACGACACTTATAAGCTTTCAGCAAGGGGGATTATAAATATATGGACACGCACACACATTTGTATTTAAAGAAAAGAAACAAAAATTGGTATATAGCTGAACTGTTATGAATATAACAATTCACTTTTTTTAGTTGATTGATTTAGTTATATACTTATTTGTTGAGGTTGACTATCGCTTCTTTGTATATATTTGACCGTTGCAGATTCACAAAACCATTCATTTATAAGCTGAGGTTTCAATCCAGGGGGTTTGATTTTCCATAAACACATGCATATACATTTTAATAATATAATGAATTAGAAAATTTATTGTCTTTTGAATATAACTTTTGGCAAAAAAACTTATTAGGTAAAGTATATCATTTTTTAATTTGTTGGATACATCATATTTTCCACTAGAGCATAATTTAATGAAGATTACATGCTAAGAGAATATACTAATCTGAATTTATGCATATTGTTTATATTTATCTACAAATGATTTTTTGTTTATGTCTTTGGAAATGATATTCAATTTAGGTGAATTAAGTAAACCACTCAAATCACCGAACTGCACCAAAAGATCATAACCGAACTAATTAAATTGTTTGCATATCCATTATAGCTTAAACAATGCTTATACGTGCACATCGTGTTGCTCGTAATCGAGTTAGATGATATATGCATGCATATTGTTGTTTTTATTTTCATTTTTATTAATTAATCATTTCTTGAATAAACTGTGGCAAAAAATATAAAACCAACTTAGGTGAGTGTAAGGCTTGTAATACCCAATAAATGCATGCGCACATTAAGTATATATACTGTATAATGCTAATCATATATGGAAGAAAATATATATAGATATATAAGAAGTTTAAATTTAACGAGGATCACTCATAGTATATACATATGCACACATAACTTCGTTATAAAAAATGAAGATTCTAACTAAGAGATTTAATAAAAGATGATAAAAACACAAGTGAAATTTAGCAATAATAATCATAGTTAAGAGAGAACATAATATAATGTACCCACACACTATATAGCTCACTAGAAGCAACTAGCAACAGACTAGTTTCATCAACATACTCATAATGAACATCATCATAATTCTTATTGTTAACTTCTGTAAATCAAAGATATAAAAAAAAAAAAAAGACATTTCAACGTACATTAAAATCCTGACCTAGCTTGAGCCCAACCATAAGCTTCTTGGCCGCTCATCTGTCCTCCTCCACCGCCTCCACCACCATTAGAAACAAGATTTCCGGGCATATTGTACACCGGAAGTCCTTGATTTCCGTCGCCTCCACCGCCACCGCTACTCAGCGGTGAACCTCCGCCTCCGAGCTGTCCAGGAACTACTCCTCCCCCGCTTCCACCGCCGCCTCTCTCAGCCGCGTCTTCCTCCTCCAAGGGCAATCTCTCGTAAGTCGCGTTAGAAAACGTGGCCGCGATTAGCATCACCGGACCAGCCGCCATCAACGGCCCCACCACGCTTCCTCCAACAACCTGACCTTGACCACCGGCTAAGTAAATCGTTAAACCGGTGGATCCAGGGGGAGCCGGTCCAGGCAAGAAAGAACCGGTCAAAGAAAGAATCTCAAACCTCCCTTGTAAAGCCAAAACCGCAGCACCACCAGGGGCTGCGGCAACCGCGGCCGAAGAGGGTTGACGAAGAGTGACGTTAGCCACCGTGCCGTTACCGCTTAAGATGCAGATGCCACGTTGACGCCGCCTCGCGAAAGTGGCTAGGGTTTCGATGACGTCAGTACCACTAGCGATCTCCATGACATGGCTCTTGAGAGCGTTTGGGGAATCGCGCGTGACGAAAATCGGTGGCTTTGGTTTGTTCTTGGAACCAGCAGGACGTCCACGTGGACGGCGCGTGGGAGCTTCCACGGCTCCTTCACGTGGCTCGTGCTCGTCGCCGCTCAAGTTGTCTCTATCGTCATCGTTGTTGTTGTTGTCGACTTCTTGGTGGTGATGATGGTTGTTATGACCTGAGTCCATGGCCATGTTCATGGAGATGTGGAGATCTGGTTTCTTTAACTGAGAAGAACTCGGCGTCGTTTCGAGGCCGGAGAGATTCACTTGTCCTGTCCACCATGGATTCGCCATTAAAAGACGTTAGTATCTGATTATCTATTCTAAGAAGTGAAGCCCTAAGAAATATAAGTTATTTTTTGGATCAAGAAGATGAACAATCCTAGAGGAGATAAGATTTTTAAGATCTTGATTTTAAAACACTTTTACAAGTTTTTGTGTTGTGAGAAACACAAAAGGTTAATTAAAAGAACACGACAAAGAATGATACTAAGCAAGAAAGAGAAAAGATGTAATGCAAGCTAACTTATAAAATAAGTGGAAGCATATGTAGATATTAATATTATACGTGCATATATACGTATAAGCGTCTATACAAGATAGTTTAAAAAACAAATCACCCAAACCAAGGCTTCAGAGAGGGACATAATTATATTTAATACAAAGTCATATTACAAATAGGATATAGGTATTATATTACAAAATATTTTAATGACATTGTTTTTGTAAAACGATAATTATCATCACTTGAGTCTTCGACAAAAAAAATGTTAATAGACTCAAGACTAACTCCTTATGACCAGTTTAGTATAAATAGAAATGTAAAATGAATTACTTCACTTTTTTTTTGGGGTCAAACGTAAATGAATTACTTCACATTACCTGGTTTTAACTTCTAACATCTAAGCCATGACTATAAATAAAACTTAAACCGTGTGAACAGTGCCGTGTCTAGCTTTATGGAGGCTTAAAGCAAATCATAAAACATGTTTTTTATATGTTTAAATATGTATTTCTATTTATAGTTTATTTTATGTTAATACTATTATAGTTTCTTAAAACAAAATGAAATTTTAAACATCAAAATACCTTTATTGTTGTTGTAGGTCTCAAACATTTATATATAACTATATAATGTTCTTCTACTATATATAACAAACAAAATCATGTATTTTATATATTTGGTTAAAGTTATAAAAAAATATGACACTTAAAACTAGAACAAATTTTGGTGGTCGAAGGCAAAGTACGGCTCTGCGTGTGAAGATCGTTAAACACATACGTTTCTAATTAATCAGTTCCCACCGTATTCTGACATTAATTTTTTAATTGGTTAAGATAATTTTATTTAAACTGCCATTTTATATTTTGTCTTTTTTAAGTTAGCGTTATAATTGATGTGTGGGGTCGAGCGCCGAGGTTGAACAAATGGGGCGCACGATCGTTTTTCAACTACAATATTTTTATTTTGAAAGTTGAATCATAAGGTTTTTCCGATAAAACAATATAATATAATATCTACGCAGTATGCACTGGATCGAAATTATAATATTTAAACCTATGAAACCGAATATATACAATGACACACAAGGGATTTATGATAATTTACTCGATATATTCTACTAGTTGTAGCCAAATAAATTTAGTTAATTCTCAATATAATATCTAACAATATTTCTATGACTCAACCTTAACACGGCAAAAGTAATTGTTACAAAAAAAAGAAAAGAAAAAAATGGCAATAGTAACCAATATATCTTTCCTGCCCCCTCCTTATTAGATTATTCATGCATGGTCTAAACTAAAGTAGAGGTTAATCGCCTTGTATGCAGATCTTTATTTCTTTAAATATATACTGTATAGTTTATGAATTATATTACATCCAAAAGTATACCATAATTATCGAAATTTTAAAAAGTCGATTATTTAGTCTTTTTACTGTTCGTTTTTCTATATACTCAACAACTCTCAACTAAAACATTATTTATAAATATAGCTAAAATTACACTATTTATTGATTAATTTAATTGAGGTAGACAAAAAGCCAAAGGGTAGTTGAACTCCTCGGGACTACATAACACACAATAATGAAACCAAAAAATGAATTGATTGTGTAGAATAACCGTACCAAATGTATGATTTTTATATGCGTGCTAATTTTTTTACTTACTTTCACAAGTCTAATCTCTTTCACAAGTTGAATAATGGAGTACTTTAGTTAACACTTGTAAGTCACTATTTTGATTAGTTTGAAAGGTCTGCCATATGTGGTAAGGAGTTTAATTATAAGAAACTACAAAACATTAGATATGGTCATATGGATTTTGTTATTTAATATCATAAAAAGATATATATAATCAATTTGAAATTTTAGAAACTTTCCTGACCAAAACAAGGAATGGAAACTGTAGTATGATGTAGGTTGAATGATTGCCTTGAACCATACTTACTTTTATTATCCCACATATAGAAGCTTTTTACTTCCATATATACATACGTAAATATTTTTTACTTTGTTTTTCAGTTAAGAGGAGTCAAACAAAAAGAAAAGTGATAACTAGAGGTGGATTACTATTTTAGCCGACCAAAAGGGACTTTTGGATGTAAACCGAACATCTTTTGTCAAGCTGATGCATTTACTAGTAATGATCAAAATATTCTTATTTGATATTATCATATTAACATACAGTACTACTGTATATTGCTTATGACTAAAAGACTTTTGTTAAAAATAAAAAATGAAAAACCTATTTCAAACACAAAATCGTATGGCAAATAAAAAACATAGGTTTGAAATAGAAATTGTATAACTGAATATTTTTTTGTCGGCATTGTATAACTGAAATTTGTATATTTTCTCTCCCGTAGAGGAGAAAACATTTAAAATCTCGAAAACTATTTGGGCCAATAATCCGAGACTATATTTGTTAGAAGGCCCAGAAAGCGAACACAATCCCGGTGCCGGCTCTGGCTTCCCCCACGCGTGCGTGACCGTCTTCTTCTCCGTCGACGAAGCAAAGAGAAAGAGAGAGAGAGATATGACGGACAATATATTCGAAGGGCTTCCACCTCCATCTTCTCAACAGCAAGAGCTGCCAATTTCTTCAAAACCAGACGAGTTTAAGAATGAAAGTTCCTCCTCGGCTCCGACTCTGGTTCTCAAGAGTTCGATGAAGCGATCGAAGCCGGCGGAGTCTCCACCCAATGTCTCAGGTAAGCTTAATTCTCCGAAAATCTATCAGTACCCGATGGTTTATCTTATCGAATTTGTATCATTCTGGAACCTTATGCTCGTTTATTGGCTTTACCGTGATTCTGGAGCCCAATTTGGTGTTGTTCTCTATAGAAGCTAGTCACTGGTTTTACATCGTCGTTTTCTTACTGATCTGATTTAGTGCTCAAATCTCGCAGCTCCTCCTGTTCTCAAGAGTGCACTAAAGCGGTCCAAACCAGCAGAATCTACACCGGAACCAGAACCAGAACAGGAAGGTACACATATCTTTATATGTATTATCGCTACTTCTTCTTTACAATAAGCATGGAACCATCAAATTGTATGACTTCCGTACTGTCTTAGGTCTAAGCATTAGGAAATGATATTTGGTTATCCCATTTGATAAGTTGATCAGTTCTCTTCTTTAATGTTTCGTTGCAGCCCCTAAAAAGCGTCTACAGTTTAAGACATCAACCGATGCATCAGAAGAACAAGTCATAGAAGCGATGCAGAAGATAACATCTCACATCAAGAACCCTTCAAAGTTTTCCAAAGCCTCAAAGCTTGCAATACGGCTAATCCAAGCTGGAAGTGTGAAGCCAGAAACAAGCAGCCACTTCATTGCGATGCTTGATGCTGCCATGTCATCAAAAACTCCTTGTACAGATCGCTTGGTTAGAGCAGACTTTCATGCATTGTTTTCTGCAGCTCAGGATGTCGCCGAGGTAAACATACAAAGAAACTCGTGGTTAAAGATATTGAACAAAATTATATTTCATGTGCAGAAGGGAAACATAGTTGATGAATGTTCCTATCTTTTGCTCTCATTCAGTGCCTTGATAAAAGCCAGAAGAATCTGTTGACCATATGGACAATTAAAGCAGTTGTGGCTAATGACCTCTTTACTGATGACAGCTTTATGGTAATACTCCAGATACCTTCTTTCAGATTCCTTACCTTTAGACTATGTTTCGCTTTAATTGCTAATATTTAGACTTTAGATTGCCTCGTCACTGTGTTATGGTTTTTTGTTTAGTTTTCCAAGACTGCTACTCGAATAAAGGAGGCTATATCTGAACTTCCTGTCTCAACTGAGGAAGATGACACGGTAGAAGCAGCTGCTCTTGAAGTAGAGGCTGTGAAGGACAACGGAGATGGGCAAACAACACAGGACCTGGCTGAAGTTGCTTCAGCTGGAGATCAAGAGGATGTCGAGTCCGATCCCTTTGGGCTTGATGCCTGGATTCCCAGTTCTGGGAAGAAAAATGGTAAAACAAAGATTAGAAAAGACTTAGCGACCGGAACAACTGAAGATAGTGATGCCGCAGAGAATAAGAGATTTCTCAGGTCAAAAAGAGAAGCTTTGATTACATGCCTGGAGATTGCTGCACGCCGTTACAGAGTTCCATGGTAAGATTGCTTCCATGATTCACAGTACCCATTGAACTTGTTATTATGTCAAAAAGTGGGAATTGAGGAATGATTGGATTCATTTTTCAGGTGCCAAACTGTTATAGACATATTGGTGAAACATGCGTTTGAGAACGTGTCAAGGTTCACATCACAGCAGAGACAAGCAGTGGAGAAGCTCTGGGCTTCTGTTCGAGAACAACACCTCCGTAGGAAGCAAGGCAAATCAGTGACAGGAAAACTTGACGTTACTGCATTCGAGTGTCTTCAGGATAAATACGCCAACGAGAAAATGAGCATCAGGCGTTCAGTGGGATCCAGCGGTGAACGCCGAGCACAGCAATGGCTCGGTTAATAAAACACTCTCAAAAACAAAAGTGATTGGTATGATTTTAACACTTAAACAGGAAGTAGAAAGCAAATTGAGGAAAAAAAAAAAATGAAATCTTTGCTCTGCTTCTTCTGATTGTCTTAGAACAAAAAGTTTCCACCTTTATTCAAAAATTTTACATGATCATAAATCTATTACAGGAGATGGGTATTGATTCTATATTTAGTCCCAGTGTTCATTACTCGTCTGCCAGTCATCATCATCTTCTCTCGGTGGCCTCACCACCAAAAGAACCATCCCTAAACTCTTGTTCACATTTCCCGCCTTCAACGCGGATCCTTTCTCTAGCTTCAGTCCATTCTCAGCCGTCACGAGATAGTATCCATCATCAGCCTCCACTGCATTCCTCTCCCTATCCGCCACTACCAGTAAAGGCTCCTCTTTTCCGTCCCAAGGTAACACTTTTCTATCATCCCTGAAAGAAACCGCTACACCGCCTTTCCCAATCACTGCCATTGGTTTCCACGCAGGAAGTACCACCCATCTCTTCCATCCTTTCTCCGCCTCAACAACCTTGAAATCTCCTCCCGCCTTGATCTCCATTGGAGCTTCAAGAATCTTCTTTTCCCCTTCCTCTGCTTTACAAACCGGCAAAACAACCACCGAGCTCGCTCCTGCAACCTCTCCGAACTTCAGCCTCACCACCGGAATTTTAATAGCTTTTACCTCCTCTTCCTTCTCCTTCTCCTTATCCCCTTCCTTCTCTCCGTGCAGCTCCTTGATCAGCTTGTTCTTGGCCTTTTCGGATTCTGCAGCCTCCAATGCTTGTTGAAGCATCGAGGTTCTCTGCTCCGATGGGTTCTTGTTCTCTCTGCTCTGCCTGTAATACATGTATGAGAGACAATCTCCTGGTAGATTGTAATCGAAATCTAACCATCCAACGTCTCCACGCCGGTTAGGATAATCCTTGATGGCTCGCGCCAAATCCTGCGCGCCTTTCGAGTCGAAATTGCGATCGATGATGTACGTTGCAGCGGCTACGCGCTGCGTGGTGCTTAGGAGGCGGATTTCGTAGAGAAGCTCTGCGCCGCCGGTGTCGAAGGCCGCAATGAGCTCCGGCTCATGGAGGGATTCAACAATTGAGTCGCGAACTTTCGCGCCGACGATTAGACGGTTCTGTTCGATGCTTGAGATTCCGGTGAGCTCTTCGATGTTGGGAGGAGTGAGACCCTCGCTGTAGAGGGAAGAGATGAGTGGTGCGTACTCGAACCAGAGAGCCAGCCTACCGGCGAGTATTTCGACTTTACCGGCGGAATCTAATGAACGAAACTTTGGTGGTATCGGAGATGCCGGCGGCCGGAAAGGTTGATACAGATTTTGTCGCGGTGGTGGGTTTTTGGGTATCATGTTTTGGGGTTTACGGGATGCGGAGACGGTGACTGTAAGGGTACGGGGTGCTGGATTATCGGGTCGGGTAATCGGGTTAGTGTATAATCCATGGGTCGTGGATTGTGTGAATGGTGAAAAGATTGAGGATTTGAGAATGTTTGCGGTGAGAGAAAGCATGGTGAGTGAGAGGTGTTGCAGAGTGAGGAGGAAGATGGTATAATTGCCTTATCTCGAATAATTGAGAAAAAACCATACAACCTTAACCGACTCAACCGGATGTTAACCGGATTGATATCAAGTTGGCATATTCGTTATATATTTTTTTGTTCTTTTGAGCATTTTGTCCAAGATATTTCTTTGTCTTTAAGTGGAGGAATGATCTTTTTCTAGTTCTTTGACAATTATGTAAAATCTTGCGAACAAAAAAAGAGCTTAATATTTTCAGATCAATTGTTTAAAATTCAACACAAAACAAGTGCTATTTAGTGACTATAATTAGTAATTTCTAAAATGACAAAAATGTGATTTTTTTTTTTCTTTTTTTACCAAGCAGAAAATGTGGAAAATGACATTATTTATTTTGACGAAACAATTCAATTTCAGTCATTTTATGAGATTCATCATTTTATAAAGCAAAAAAAAAAAAAAACCTAAAATGGGCCCGGAATTTGATAGTATGAGCCCAAATATCCAAAGTCCGATTAAATAGGCCCAACCAAATATTTACCCTTTATTTTACCCAGAATTGCCAACCTTAACAGTTAAAAAAATTTGTGGGTGATCGAATTTACATTTGGACCCAAGTGACACTCGCATGATCTCAAAATCATTTTTATATCCGAATCGTTACAAAATGTTTTCAAGCTACTTTCTCTAATGCCAAAGCCAAAGCCAAAGCCGCATGATAGTTAAATCACAGCAACGTTTGACTATCACCATCTATATATTACCACTCTAACTCTAATGAAAACTCTACTCATATCGAAACTAGAGAGCTTCAATTAGCTTTGGAGGTTTCCAACGTTCATCATCCATGCATGACCTGCAATTTCCAATTACAAAGAATATTTATTTTTTCAATTTTTTTTTTAAAAAACAAACTATTTGGAAAAAGAATTAGAAGAATATTTTGAAAATTTGAATTTTGAAACAGAGCAGAAACGACTTACGAAGAGCATCCTCTGCGGAAAATCGACGGGAAACATCTCGACATATCATTTTCCTCAAGAGATCCTTGGCTTCTGCTGACACCGATCCGAATTTCTTCGGTGGAAACCTCAGATTCCCTCTCATAATCGTTTCGAAGATCTGTTCCGCCGTCTCTCCGTTAAACGGCGGCTCTCCAGCTAGCATCGTGTAGATCACAACGCCGGCGCTCCATATATCCACCTTCTCGTCGTACCTCCTCCCCATCACAACCTCCGGCGCCACGTAATACGGTGTCCCCACCACTCCCTCCGCCGTCTCTGTATTCTCTCCCCCTAGCCAAACCGCCGATCCGAAATCGCAGAGCTTAACGCCGCCGCTTCCGAGATCGATTAAGACGTTGTCCGGTTTTACATCCCGATGAACGACGCCGCACCGGTGACAATGAGCTAGCGCACGGAGGATCTGTCTCGCGTATGAGGCGGCTTCTGATTCGGATAACCGTCCGCCGGCGGAGATTAGCCGATCGTAGATCGTCATAGGCGGATCGACTAACTCCATGACGATCGCCAGAGAATCCTCTGTTTCGAATAGATCGTAGATCCTGACGATGTTCGGATGCGGCGGTAGCATCGCCATGATTCTAGGCTCCGTCTCTATACACTCGCGATCCAGCGCGTCGATCAGCGCGTGCTTGTCGATCGTTTTGCATGCGTAGAATTCTTTAGTCACCGGTGAGAAACAGCGAGTGATTGTTCCGAATCGTCCTCGGCCGATCTCGTCGCAAATCTGGTAGTTATTTTCAAGTTCGAATTCTCCGGTCATCGGAATATTCTGCGTTGTTGTTTCTTCTTCGTATCTCTCTGCTGATTCCGTGAGAGAGGGGTTTTTATAGAGGAAGAGAATCAGAATACTAAAAAGAGTATATTCCGTTTAAGGAGGTTAAACAGTATTCTGTTTTAAACGTTGGAGTCAGAGTCAAAGCTTCGAGAAGAAAAAGCAAGCAAGTAAATAACAGACCAGTTAACTACTAACGGCAACGTTAGATACCTCCGCGTGTTAATTCGGTTTATAATTTTATATTTCTTTGATGTGCATAACATACGAACTGTATCATTTATTTATTCTTTAAATATGGAAACTGTGCATATAAACAAATTATTCGAGAAAGAAACAGTGTGGCTGATCAGTTCGCAAAAAGGGCAAATGTTTCCTCTGTATCTTATTTTTTAATATCCCTCCATCTTGGATGAGGAAATATTTGTATTATCCTTATTGTACATTATAAGTTGATATATCAGCAGTTAAAAAAAAAAACAAATATTTCGACGAGTCAAAAAATATATAAGTAAAATGACGATGAACATGCTCTCAGCATGTCCTTATCGTAAAACAATCCTTTATTTTCATCTATAGACGACGAAAATAAACGAAAGTCATATTCTTTATGTAAATATATAATGTAAGACTTCAAGTAGTTTTCAGTGAAATTCATGATGAACTCTTATACTTAAATGGCGATTCATTATAGAATGTGCATGTAGCATGCTGACTCTAGCTAATAATTGTGCTATTTGCTTATTTTAGTAAAGCAAATCATTATTTCTTTAGTGCATTATTTGTCGATCATCTAATTAGGTTGTTAAGAGGCCTGGTTTTAGACAAAGTTGCCTTAGAATTTTGTTTTTGTGGTGGTGTGATTTCTGTCGTCTTCACGATTTCTTTAAGCTTATAAATAATGGTTATACACGCGTATATTTATCTAGAAGCTAAATTTGTTGGACATATATTTAATACTAATTCTTTAGAGAATCAGAGATGATTGATATGAAACAACATTATTGAGAACTATATCATTTTCTTATTGGCTTTATCATTTGATCGGCAATAATCAGTTCACTGTAGTTCACTATTATGCGTGGAATTGACATTTGATCATACCGTAATCAAGTATATAGAAGTCGTTGAACGTTAATAAGAATATCAATAGCTTAATTAGATTCTAAACCGGTTGTTCCTTTTAAATTTAAAAATGATTTTCAAAATAAATGCATTTTAATCCAATATGATTATCATATGGGTTAAAAAATCGAGTCTATTATACAGTAAACATGCAGATATTTATTAAAATTTCTCAAAACATGATCACGTAAACATGCAGATATTTATTAGAATTTCTCAAAATATGACATTATGACATATCTAGGCTCTTCGCATATCATTTTGTTAATAAAAGTACCATATATGCGTAACTAATATTATGTATTTACATGAAAAAATACATTAAAAATACTACAGACGTCAGAACACAAAAAAGGTTGTCTGCATTAAGATAAGAGATTAGGCAGGAACTTTACGAACTTTACTTTACCAATTTGGCATTATGCGTTTAACATCTATTTGGTTGTACCGATATTCTTTCTCGCAGATTCTCTGACTTCATTTCGTAATCGATTTGATATCTCTCTCTCTCTCTCTCTCTCTCTCTCTCTCTCTCTCTCTCTCTCTCTCTCTCTCTCTCTCTCCTATTTTAGCCGCTCGAAACACATCTCTTCACCAAGAACAAAAAAGCATAACCTAACAGAAAAATCTTGGTATGATGGATTAATACTCAGTGATATATAGTATTTTCTATTATTATTATTGATTCAAGTCCAATTCTAACAAGAATTTTTTTTTTTTATTTAGACACCAGGATGGTAACGCCAACAATAAGAACCGTTGATCTCCGGTCCGACACGGTGACTAAGCCAACGGAGTCAATGCGTTTAGCGATGGCAAACGCGGAAGTAGACGACGACGTTTTGGGAAATGATCCAACCGCCGTGCGTTTGGAGAGAGAGGTGGCAGAGATCGCCGGAAAAGAGGCGGCCATGTTTGTTCCGTCGGGGACAATGGGGAATCTGATAAGTGTATTGGTCCATTGTGATGAGAGGGGGAGTGAAGTGATTCGAGGAGATGACTCTCACATTCATATATACGAAAACGGCGGCGTTTCAAGCCTCGGCGGAGTGCATCCTAGGACGGTGAAGAACGAAGAAGACGGGACGATGGAGATTGGTTCTATTGAGGCTGCCGTGAGGAGTCCCAAAGGAGATCTTCATTATCCGGTTACTAAGCTTATATGTCTTGAGAACACTCAAGCAAAGTAAGTCTTTGTTTTGTTTTTTTTTTAATTAAGTAAAGAAACAAAGCGTATATTATACTGTTTTTGTGTGTTTATGTAATAGAACTAGTGTAGCCTAGTGGTTTCCTACTCATCGATGTTAGGTGTAGAGGTGTGGTATATAGATTTCATTTAGACTTGGTTATAAAAAGAAAAATATTTTTTGAAGCGTATAATTCAATAAATTATTAGTAACTAAAGCCGTTAGAGATGTTACGTTATGTTGATTAAAATGTATTTTTTTGCAGATTGTGTCACTCACTTTAGCCCAAGAAAAAAAAAAAAACTAGTGGGTTATATACAGAAACTTTTGAGGACTGTGGTGCTCACTTAGATTACAAAACACTGACCTAGTTGCCAGGAGATTAGAAATTATCGGGTTCAATTCATATTAAGTTTGAGAGCTGGTTATTGCGGCCATGGTTAGACTTTTGATAGGTGAAATTCAATTGAAAATTCCGGTGAGCCTTTACTTGTTGTTTTTATGCCATCGTGGTTTTGATAGAACCGGGATTTGTTGATGCAGTTGTGGAGGTAGATGCTTGCCTATAGAATATATAGACAAAGTCGGAGAATTAGCCGAGAAACATGGCTTGAAGCTTCACATCGACGGAGCTCGGATCTTCAACGCTTCTCTTGTCAGTATACAAATATTTCAATATAATCGTTCGTTCATTTATTTTTTTGCCGGAACTCTTTACTCAAATACGTGTGTCAATGCTTTGAAGTTTCTAACTTCATATTTTCGACCTTGGTTAGGCGCTCGGAGTACCGGTCAAGAGGATTGTTCAAGCCGCAGATTCGGTCTCGGTATGGTTCATCAAAACTGTGCTATGTAACATTACGGATTTTTTCCTTTTTTTTTGGGTCTTTCAACTATATTGTCTTTGCATTAATGTTTACGGTTGAAATATAAACCGGTGATCACTTCGATGCCGCTAGATATGTTTGTCGAAAGGTATAGGTGCACCGGTTGGCTCGGTAATTGTGGGAAGCAAAAGTTTCATCACCAAAGTAAGTCGCCATGCATCAAATTGAGACGGTGAATTAACTAGCCTTTTAAAAATAATAATAATAATAATTATTTGCTTCACGTACTTAAATATTTAAATGCAGGCAAGGTGGTTAAGGAAAACATTAGGTGGAGGAATGAGACAGATCGGTGTGCTCTGCGCTGCGGCATTGGTGGCTCTCCATGAAAACGTCGCCAAGCTCGACGATGATCACAAGAAGGCCAAGATCTTGGCAGGTATATCTTATCCGGAATCTCAAAATTTAATGTGTTAACCGATTGATTTTGGTTTTTGTTTTTCTACATTACCAGAAGGACTGAACCGGATTGAACGGTTAAGAGTGGACGTCACGGCGGTGGAAACAAACATCGTAAGTGTTTGAAATGGAGAGTTACCTATATTATTCGCGTCTGGTAATTTTAACCCAAAACTGAACCGGTAACCAGTAAGGCTAGTTAAATAATTTACGATTCGGAGTAAAACCAAGGTCATAGTTTTTTTTTGTTTTTTTGGGTAAAAAAACCAAGATCATAGTTATTTGATAGTTTTTTTGTTTTGTTTTACAATAATTTCGAAACTATAGGCGTATATATCATCTATACACCACATTCATGAATAATAATAGAATGTAATCTTGGTTTGAAGCCGAAGGGTTTAACCGTTTAAGTGTATTTATTTGGTCGTCGTTTGAGGATTTTTTTGTTTTGTTTTCGTTTTCGTTGTAAAACAAATCATCATGGGCAGATATACGTAGATATACCAAAAGATCCAAAATTTAGAGCAGAAGACGCATGCAAAAGTTTGGAAGTTCTCGGTGTGCTTGTCATACCTCAAGCTACATTCAGGTACTACATTTTAATTCAATTTACTTGTTAAATAACTGTTTTCGGTTCGACATAAATCATATCGATTTCGTTTGTCTGAGTCGGTTTATCTTTCAAATGTTTAATTATTTTCTGCAAGCAATATCAATCAACCACTAACGAAAAAAATGAAAGAAAACAGGCAGTTTATGTTAGCGATTAATTAGTAATATATGTACTTACTACTTACCAGTAACTTGAAGATTATATATGTTATGTGTGTATACAGAATCAGGATTGTTCTACACCACCAAATCTCAGATAGCGACGTGGAATATGTACTCTCTTGTTTTGAGGTAGTTTGCTTTCAAAATCCAGTTGTGTGCTTTGATATATATTTAATTTTTTTTTCTGCGCCCGTTAGTGCGCTATATAATTCTTTGATTAATTGCTTTTAATTAATTTTCAGAAAACGTTTTAGCTCGGTGCCAGAAGAGAAGGTTTGCTTTTATGTAATTTCACGTGTTGGACTGTGTGTGGTATTAGTGCTTGAACTATTTTCTTGGTTTACAAATTAAAACCAGTTTGTTCAAGAATTATATTTTTTTTTGTTATATAATTCAAGTATAAATACCTTGAAATGGCTTAACTTTTTTCTCCTACCACGAAAATAAAGTTTTGTAAAATTTCACTATGCAATTCTTTAAACTATAGAATATATTTTGTTGATGATTAGTATGTATAATCGTTTAGTTTATTGTGTGAATAGTTAAGGTGTTTGGTAATTGGTATAACACTACAAAAAAAAGTGTTGATAGCATCAAATAAATTATATCAGAAAAATAATTGATACTAATTAAAATCATTTATTTACAAGTGACATAAATTATACAGTATTAACATCAGTTAATACAAATGATGTTATTATTAGTTTATATGGCATCGATTGCATAAAACTGATACTAATTTATTTTAAATCACATCACTTGAACAATATTGATACAAAACCAAATTTTACATCATTAGATAATTGATGTATATATTAGCATCACTTGAATAAAATAATGCAAATTTTGTAGCAATTAAAAAGTGATGCCAACAAAGAACTGAATAAACAATTAATATATTTAAATTTAATTGGATCAAAACTTATCTGTCCCACATCGGTTAGGAGAACTTGAAAGGAGAGAATTGTTCCTCTATAAAATAAACTCATCATTGTTAATAATCGTATGATTTTATTAACTTCAACCAAAATCTTCGACATAAAAAAAATATTTTTAATAATAATTCTAGTTAATTATTGTATAAGAGTTCACAAAATATATTTATATTAATAAAAAAACAAAAGGGATTTTATATAAATTTTAAAAATAAATTAAAATTTATACCAAAATAGTTTTTTTAACATCAATTATTTATAATTGATACAAATATTAATATCATTTATAATAACTGATTAAAATTTAATATCACTTAAAACAATTGACATATATTAATATCAATTATTCTAATTGATGTAAATATTTTAAATATTTACATCAGTTATTAATGAACTGATATAAAGTATTTGCATCACCACTTTCAGAATCATTTTTTTAAATGATGTAAAATTCTTTTGCATCAGTTATAAATAATACAAATAAATAAAATAAATGATGTATTATGATGTTTTTTTTTTAGTGTAATCGGAAGAGTGTTTTTTGTGTGTGTGTGTTCAAAGCTTGAGTATAAGAAAGTAGTTTAGACGTTCAAGGATAATGGTTGAACACACTCGTTAACTGAACTTATAAATAGTACTTTTACTGAGCTAAACGTATAAGCAATCCTATTTTGTTAAAATATATAAATATGTGAATCAATCATCATTTTCACCAAATTCATGACTTATACATATCTCATAAAGTATGTACCAAAACGATATGTCGCTTTATAGAATAAAATGTTACAAAAGTTGGGTTGTAATATAATTGACCATTAAAAGACTTCGATTTCAATTACGGTTAGTCACGATGTTCGATTGTAATCATGAACTTGAACCATGTCCTAATTTCAAAAATCAAAATTGTAAAGAGTGAACCAAAATAAGTTGACCAAAAGAAAAATAAAAAGAACCACTAAAAATTTCTTAATATACTGTTTAAATTTGATAAATATATCCTTCATGATTTGGCTTCCTAAGGCATAACCTATAAAATTAGAAACAACACCACTGAACCAGTTTAAACCCGTCAAACCACTCTACTCCACTGGTCTTCTATTGGTTTAGTATTGATTTTGTGAAGAGACTAGTGGGCTCAGCCCATATATTCTAAGTCCATTTCAAGAGTTTTCCGATCTTTTTTTTTGTCGGAGAGTTTTTCGATTTAAAAACAAAAGATTGGGAAATTAAAGAGAAAAGAAAGACGTAAAAAAAAAAAGAAGAAAAAAAATAAAAACAAAATTTGACGTGGAATCTCTTGCCTGAAACCTATCGGTTGCGATTCGGCGTTTTCTTGTTTTCGACGATCTCCGATGTCAATCCCGCCGTCTTCAGCTTCTTCGTCATCGTCTTCAGCGTCTCAGTTCACGTATTCAGCAAATTCTTATTATTCCGCGCCCTACCAGCCTCCACAGCCTTACGTCGCGCCGTCGCCTGCTCCAGCGCCGCCGGTGGTTCCCATTCCCGGAGCCACGGTCTATCCGCAGCCTGTTGGCCCGGTTCCTGCCGTCTACGCTTACCCTCAGTACCAGCAGGTTAGTGGGTTTGATAATTCCGAGTGTATTGATTCATATTCATATTGCGTATTTGAGATTTGGGGTTCAAATTAGGGTCTTCGAAATCCGTCTGCTTTGAATTTGGGGTATTTGCTATTGAGATAGCAGTTCCCTTTATGATTGTGTGATGACTGGGCTCTTCACGAATTTTACCAATTACAGAACTCACATGATTTACAGTTAAAGCTTTGCTCTTTGGATTTGGTTTTTCTTGATTTTTTTGTTCTGCGAAATTTATGCTTAAGGTAGATTGATTGGTACCTTAATGTTGTTTGATTTGGTTGTATATATTGGTAGGCACATCAATTGTTCCAGAGAGATGCACAGACGATCACACCAGAAGCCCTTGAGAATGTGAAAGCTGCTTTGGCAAGTAGCGAAACCGAACAGAAAGCTGAAACTAAAAAGAGAGCCATTCCTCGTAAAGCTGCTGGACAGTCTTGGGAGGATCCCACTCTTTCAGAGTGGCCAGAAAGTAAGCTCTTCCCCTTCTACCTTCTTTCCCATACGTTGAGTTTGCGGATTGCTCTTTCAGTTTGTGGATTTATCGTAGTTGTTCATAGATTTCTTACAAGTTTCCGTTTCACATTTGCCAGATGACTATCGCCTGTTCTGTGGTGATCTTGGAAATGAAGTGAACGATGATGTTCTTTCCAAGGCATTTGCTCGATTCCCCACCTTCAATATGGCCAAAGTAAGTTGTATATCTCTCTGTCTTGTTGCTTAGGTGGGGCTGATTTATGTCAACTGTGATACATTTGCAACTCTGACGATGTCGTATGTACAGAACTTGGTTGTCCTTTAAAACATATGGATCATTCAATACTTTATTCACAAAGAAAATTATTCATTGTTAATTTCGTGGTCAAAGCTTCTAAGGACAGTAAAAAAAGAAGAAGAATAATTATGATTTCGCTGTAATCACTTTTTCTGGATAGTCTCTATGTACATATTTCCTCCCATTTTCATTTTTCATTGTTTCTATGTTTCTTGCACTGCCATATGGATTCTTTATTGGCTATTTTCTTCAGTATTGTTGTTGAAAACATCTTATCTACCATGACAGGTCATCAGAGATAAGCGTACTGGTAAAACGAAGGGTTATGGGTTTGTGAGTTTCTCAAGCCCTGCGGATCTAGCTGCAGCTCTAAAAGAAATGAATGGTAAGCATCTGGTTTTAGTATCTGTTTTGATGTGTGGTTTCATTCTGGTATCTTATTTCACAGTTTTTGTCAGAACTTGTTTAGATGATTCTGTTTATAATTATTTGCCATTGAACATTTTGTTTTAGTCAATTAATTTTATATGAATATACAGGTAAGTATGTTGGAAACCGTCCGATAAAACTAAGTAAGAGCAGCTGGAAAGAGAGAACAGACCAGGAGGCTTTTGAAAGACAAAAGGCAAGTATCCAGATCCCATCTTTTTGATAGATTTAAATTTTGCAGAGAATAATTGCTAACATTATGGTTCTCTCTCTAATGGTAAATGCAGCATCACAGCAATAAGAAACAAAAGACAGTCAAGAAGAGCATACTTCACAAGTGACAAAATATGGCACATGTAATTCTTGTTTTTTACTCTCTTTGTTTGTTTTATGAAGATTGAGTTTAACATTTTTTGTTCAAGTAAATGATATGTACTCTGTTTTTATAAAACTACACTTTGCTTCATTCTTTATTTTTGTTCAAACACCTCGCTTCATTCTAAAGAACATTTTATTAAATGTTTTATTTTCTCTCCTTAATAGAGTGGTATGTTATGTTATTAAGAGAAATAACAATTATTAAGTTTCTGTATGCAACTAAGAAAAGAAAAATCATATTTATATATCTACATAAAAAAATCTCACAAAAAGTCATCTATGTAAAATGATCTTAAAAGAAGTACAAATTATTTACTTAATCCGGCTAGTTTAAAAATTGAAGACAAAAAATCCGGTTACATAAACAATTTCTTATTAAGTAATTGATTTTATATTGTTTTATTTGCAAAACAAAAACAAATATTGACGTTATTTTTCTAATTATTATATAAAATAACATTTTGCTATATCCTAACACCATGCTATTTTACTAAATAGTATATTTTTTAGAGAAATCACTCCGATTAAGTTTGATGTGGTAAGAACACGAGTTGTTAATTAGTAGGTTTGCATCCTTTTCTTTTCTCCATTTAATTTCCTCCCATAAGTAAATTATTTGTGTCAGTTATATTTACAAGCAGAAAGCTTGGTTACCTCGATTAGATGATCTCTTTTATATATTGTGTTAATTAAAAGCGTTAACAAAAAAAATTTAGGAAATAGAGTATCTTAAATTTTTAGTTTTGTTAGAAAAAAGTATTTATGATTGAGTTGCTAAGTCTAAGGTCCCAATCACTTTGTGAAAACGTGTTTCCAGGTTCGAGTACCCCTTCTATATCTTTTAAACTCTTCATAATTACAGTCAAGTGTCTGAGTAAATTACCAATATACGAGAAACGCAATATTATTTAAAAAGCGATTAGAAGAAAAAAGGTACTTTCTAACGTTATGTGTTGGAGGTATAACTATATAAAGCCCTGAAAACTTTTTTGAGACATCATATTTAATTTTTCCAACTTAATTAAAAGTTGATAAAAGCCCCAGTCAACATCTACTTTCTCTTCATAATACAATTTGTGTGTCAATCTCAAATCCTAAATGAAGCTCTCAGTTCACCTTTCTCTCTCTCTTTTTTTTTATTAATAACATTTCTCTTTATTATATATATTACATATATAATAAACTTTTAATGGACGCTGGGCTCTTATCAACTTTTAATGGAAATTAGGTTAAATTTTTCATGAGGGGATCCACTAACAATCGTTAGGATCTAACCCAATAAACGTGTCCACTAAATCAATAGTAGTTGCAGATGGTTTACTGATTAATTGATTGACGCTACGTAATGCCTACGTTAGTAGTTGGTGACTTTGATGAAGTGGGGCTTATTAATGTTTATACTTTACGACTTTGTTTCGGTCATGAATTCTTCTGATTACAAAGATAATGTCAAAAAACATTATTCTCATATGGATGAAAATATATCAGTATTTTTCTTACTTTTGCCTATATTTCACCATTTTGGAGATTATCAATGAGTAAAACATTATACAACTAAACATTATATAATTAATTTGATGATATAAACTAGCTATATAAAACTATTTATTTCTATAATATATCTATATATTTTAGATAGATTAAAAATGACTTAAAATAATAGTTAATTAATAATTTTCTCTTATGAACAAGTGATAACTTACTTACGTTTATATTGTATAACAGAGTCCTGAGGGGATATCATTGACTGCATGGAGAAAACAGCTCAACCGGTTTTCAATCATCCACTCCTAACAAATCATAAGTTTCAAGCATTTATTTAATTTGTTTTACTCATTTATTTACTTTTTATTTGAATAGTCTAATAGAACACTGAAATGCATATTTTTTTAGTGATTTCTAAATTACCAAAAAGAAGAGAATTAGATTAGCCTCAGAACTATTATCTTGTTTTGATTTTGTTGTGAATGGCTGCTATATATAGGCATTTAACTTTCGACTAAGTAAAAAAATAAAGCAAAATATAAGAAAAAGGTAAGCAAATTATAAGCAAAATATGAGATAAAAATAGGAATTATAATATAAAAAATGAGCAATATTTAATTAACTACTAAACACTCTATTACCAGTTCAAGCATTTGACGTACGAATAACTCATCCAAAGTATTATGCTGTAAAAATACTCAAGAACAAAGAGTGCCAACATCATTTTTAACTTGACGACCCTGGACCTCAACGCTTTTGGCGGAGAAGTGGTTTATTCCTTGTTTTTCTTGTATTTTTTTTCATGTATTTTTTTTTTTCTTTTGGTACATGTGTAAGAAATTAAAACACTCTACTTAGACATTTAACTAAAATGTCAGAGTCCTGAGAGGATGTCATTGACTGCACGGACAGAACAGCTCAACCGGCTTTCAGTCATCCCATCCTCAAACATTATAAGTTTCAGGTATTTATCTATCTTTTACTTGCTATAAGAATTTTCTTAAAATCTAGTTTCGAGAATGTCTTTAAAAGAAATAATAATAAAAGTTTTACAAAATTAATAACATAGGAATCACCAACTGTCCAAATGCCGCAAAAAATGAATAGGAAGTTCATTGGCAAGTCTGGCACCGCAATAGAACTAGGTATCCCAAAAGAACCATTCCGATTCGAAGAGTGATTTCTTACACCAACGAAACTACAAACTCTGAGGCTGCGGATAATGCCACCAAAAGACACAAAATATCCGAAATCTCTTTTCCTCTTTTTTTTTTAATGAAAATATTTATCTATTTTGAACTGTACTAAAATGAATTGAATTTCATCAGCCGAATTTGAACCGAACTTTTAACCTGATTAATACCTGAAAACATAAAACACATTTAATTTGATGGTCTAATAGAAGTATAGAACATTGAAATGCATAATTTTTTTTAGTGATTTCTAAATTATAAAATAAGAGAATTAGATTAGCCTAAGAACTATTATCTAGTTTTGATTTTGTTGTGAATGGCTGCTGCATATATAGACATTTAACTTTCGACTAAGTAAAAAAATAAAGCAAAATATAAGAAAAAGGTAAGCAAATTATAAGCAAAAAATGAGATAAAAAGGAATTATAATATGAAAAATGAGCAGTATTTAATTAACTACTAAACACTCTATTACCAGTTTAAGCCTTTAATTTTAGACAGTTAACTAAAAAAATTTATGATCGTATACAAACCTTTTATTGATTGAATGGTATACTTATTTCAAATATTTGTGACAAGACTATAATCGATATTTATTATTCATTTTGACTAGTATTTTTTTTTTACAACTGTTCCATTTTGGTTAAATTTCAGCTCTCTTTTTTTAATATCCAAAAATCAGCCGAAAAGGTAAAAACACTGTAAAATCAAACATTATCCTAATTAAACGTCTTGAATTACACATATCACTAGAGAGACGATGGATTTTTCTCAACTGTAGCAACATGGAAGAGGATTTGGGAGTTTTGTTTGCACATTCTTCAGATTTTAACCCTTTTCCAAAAGCAATATTCCTATCCATATAATCCCTCCACACACTCTATAGCAATAAATGAATGGTACTGAAATTAAATTCGTACAATTTAATGTAGTTTTATCGTGTTGTCAATAATTATATAGAGGATTTAGTTTGCTTATACTGAATTACCGTGTAGTAGTATTTGTTTTTAACAAGATCCAACACTTGTCAGTATGATCAAAGATAGTTTATCGCTTATTTAGTGATACGAATCATATCAATATTTGAATTAAATGCAAGATTTTACTGCATAACATTTTTGTTGATAAACTCCCTTTCAAAACCATTTCGTCATAATCAGAGTCCAACAACAAAGTATGACAAGGAACAGATTTTGCGGTTTCATTATAAGATTCAAATTTTTGAAATCCTCAGTTTCTCCCACTAGAAGAAGCCGAAAAATATAGCTAATGAATAAAACACTTAGAAAGCCTCTTTTAGTTCTAAAATTCGATCACCTTGTCTTTAAAAACCCACGAACTTCAATGAGGAAGTTGTTGAGGTTCTTTCTGAATCTTTGGTAGTTGAGACGGTCCAAGGATGAGGATAGCTGGTTCGACGTCGTTAGCACCTGAAGCGCGTTCGCTAGCCTAGTTTTGAAGTTCGGATTACCCTGCTTCTCAATCAGCTCGTTGCACAATCCCTAGAGGCAGTAACACAAACTGCTAAGTTACCGCGGTTTTAGACATGGAAACTCGGTTTCTGTTTATTAAGAGGGAACCTAAAGACCGACCTGGTAAAGGTTTGGTTCACAGAGGATAAGAGGGAACAAGGCATCTGCTGCTGTACTGACTAGCTCGGGACTGAATCAAGAACCAGTAAATACACTTTAAGTAAACCGTAAGAATGCTTATTACGTTATTTTGGCGAATAGAGTTATGGTACCTGTAATCCTCAAAAAGAAGAAAGTGCAGGAATGTGCGAAGGAATCGACTCAGGATTCCTTCGCGGAATACTCCATTTGGATCTGTTTGTCCAGCAGCGTGTGAACCCAAACCTGTGTTGCCAGCTTTTGTCTCTTTGTAGTGATATGAAGCGAGAGCCTTTAGAGCTCTCAGGCACATCGTGACTATATCTACATCCTGATGAGCATATCAATAAATAGTATTACTTTAACATTCTTGTAAACCAAGAGCAAAAGGGATTTTACTTATTATCCCTGTAAAGAAGATTCCACTTCACCTGCTGATGAAGACCAAAGTCAACTGTTGTAAGTACATGGTTAAATGCATCGCCGTTGAGTTGTGCGAGCGTCTCGGGGTAAACCTCGAGCATATGTGATATGAGCGAGAAATACTGTAGAACTTTTCTTGCTTTAGTGGAAGTTTATAACAGTAAAACTACTATGATAGGTTTAGTCAATGGTAGATTCAAGGCCTTACGTCGAAACAAAGCTTGGGGTATTTGAGGAGTTCCAAAGTTATAAGTGGCGTGATTATATGGAGACCAAAGTACACCACCTGTACGTTCAAAAAAATTACACAAACCGTTCTTGTAGAATTTCATCTTACTTAACTTGATTTTTACCTGGGATATATTTGTGCTTTGTGTCTCAATACTGTCAGATGAAAAATCAACCTGCAAAAGGTAGTACCACTTGTTAG